GGTAGGTAATAAATTGTTCTACTACTACTACTACTACTACTACTACTACCTACTATTACTATTAAATACAGCAAAGACTTGTTCCTATTTTGGGGTGGGATTCAATTGCATACCAGCAAATTCAGCTTGTGCAATTCCAGCTGATTTGGTGCTTGGCGGCCACAAACCCACCTTTCCAATGCCCAGGTTATTTTGTGATAACATGGGAAAAGGCACTGGAAAGCGGTTGGACATCAACTGATTGAAACATTGTCTAACCTCTTTGCAAACAAATCAGAACGAATGCTTAGCAAACAGTTCTGGCTGGAAAAAAATCCCCACGCATCACCTTCTAAAGAGCACCTGTCGGATAAGACCATTAAGTCATCTAAAATTACTGAGCCCCATAGTGCCTTTTCTTGTCCTCTCCCAGCAGTTTGCTGCAGCAGTAGACACTGCTTTCCTAAGCATTTGAGGTTGGCATCTTTGTTCTGGCAAAATACAGGACAGGACGGAGAGCGCCTTTTTTTCCACCTCATGGTGCAATGACTTTCAAAACAATCCAATGCAATCCATTGCAGCCTAACAGGATGGCCCCTCTGGAATTTGTCACGCACACAAATTTGTACATTTGTCTAATTCTTGCTGCCCAGAGCTAAAATATATGAATTTTCACACATCCTTTCACATATACGCGGTACTATACAGCAATATATGCAGACCAGATGGAGAGGAGGATAAATTAATAGGGGGGCATATTCTGATGAGGGGATGAACTATGTTCTACAAGTTAAATTTTAGAAAGAGAGAAAAAAAATTTAGGTGGGGAGGAGTAGGGCAAGCCTTGTGGGGAGCAACTCCTCCCCACTCTCCTGTCTCAAATATTATGCAGATAACTATGTCCAAAATAGGGGTTTCTGGGCTACACTGACACAAAACCACTTGTTTCTAGAGCCTCAGAACCTGTTGTTTTCGGAGGGAAGTTTTGAGGGAGGAAATGGACAGTCAGTCTTGAAGTACCTATAGGTTAATGAGAAAAGCTTCATGGGAAAAGAAAATAGGAACATATAACTCTACAGGCAGGGTTTTGTTTATGGTAGAAGTCCTGCAAAGGACAGAACAAAAGCTGGTGAACTTTCCCATGCTATTTTGCAAAATCAGTGCCATGTCGTAAGGAGCCCATGAGAAGAGCAAAAGCGAATTTCATTCCTTATGTTTATTCAGTAGGTGGGTTCTTTCCATTGTTCATCAAAATGTGTTGTTTTAAACGCGAAGGGATTTCAGTGGGCAAACCGAGCGGCTGAGGAAGATGCCTGTGAGGATATTAGACACCAACTTTACCTCAGCAAAAAAGGGGGGGAAAGACTCTCACTGCAATAACTGAAAGCTCTCCCCAAAAGGAAGGAAGAGATATTAGTGGGAATTTCCCCTAGATAACAGATTCAGGCCTATACAAATCCTGTTGTGTCTTATCTAGATATATTGTAATATGAAGGAAAGAAAACCCAGAATGCAACAGATTTACCAGGTTGAGCAGGAAATTGGCTAATATATGTATGTTTTCGCTTCTTAATAGTGCTCTGACTTTGCTCAAGTTAACCAAATGGTACACATGAATTCACTTTACAAAAAAATAAAACCTATTGGGTGTCCAATATGGTCTGGAAGGCAACTTCTGTGTAAATAATCTGCCAGTGGATGAGGGCAAAAATCATGTGTCAGAGTAGAGGGGGACCATTTCCCTTTGCACCTCCAGGTGTCTCCATTAAACGAGTCACCCTTCCTGAGAACAGTATACCCAGCAGAGATCACCGCATTAGAGCGACCTGGTTGCCGAGTCAAATGGACCCCTGCACTTGACTCCAAACTGAAGAAGATTCTAACCTCTGAAAAACTCCATACTATTTTAACTGGCTTTGGGGCTAATCCTAGGCCTGAGGACCCAGTTTCCAAGTATGAGAGCCTGCTCCAACAATTAAAACCCTATCTTTTTAATACCACAGAGGAAAGGCCAACTAAACCAATAACACCAAATAAACCCTGGTTTGATTACACCTGCTTTGAGGCAAAGAAAGCCCTGCAAAATGCTTACAAAGCTGCCCTGACAGCCGAAAATTCTGTCAGACATCAAGCCTATCTTGCTGTCCGTGCCCTAAAAAAAAAAAAAGAGTATAAAGACCTAATACTCCACCAAAAGAAAGCCTATACCAGAAAATGTTGGCTAGAATTAATTAGTGCGGCAAAAGCAAAAGATCAGACACTATTCTGGAAACTGGTAGCTTCTGGCATCCATAAAGCTATTTCCCCCTTAGCCTCACAAATTCCCCCTAGCCTGTGGGTCTCATTCTTCCAATCTTTGTACGAGGACGCTGAACCTCCACTACCGAATTATAATATAGAACAACTGGCTAAATGGCCGCCTGTTTCAGTAACTGAAGTGAAATCATATATAAACCAACTGAAAATGGCCAAAGCCCCAGGCTCAGACAGCATTACTCCAGAAATGATAAAAGCACAGGCGGATTGGTGGGCACCTTTCTTAGCCAACCTCTTCACTTACATAGATGACACTGGCCGCATCCCAAGGGAATGGGGAACAGCCATAATAGTTCCAATCTATAAAAAGGGCAACAGAGGCGACCCAGCGAATTATAGGCCGATTAGCCTATTAAGTGTGATCAGTAAACTCTACGCAAAGCACCTCCTTAATAAGTTTACAGAATGGCTAAAGAATGAAGATATCCTGGCAATAGAACAAGCGGGCTTCAGACCCGGAAGGTCCACAACAGATCACTGCCTAACACTACAACATCTCATTGACAATTACAAATCAAGAGGGCAGGCCTCACTATACGCTCTTAATTCAGGCACTGAACGCAAACACGGCTCTTAGAGTCAGGTGCAGCCGCCCAGGACACCTAACGGACCCAATTAAAACCTTCAAAGGAGTCAGGCAAGGGTGCCTATTGGCCCCTCTACTATTTAATGTCTACCTAAATAACTTAGTATCTGCACTCAATGACTCAGAACTCCATCTGCCGAAGCTTGCAAATCGGCGTATTTCGGTCCTGCTATATGCCGATGATGCGGTAATTCTATCTAGAACCCCCATTGGACTCAAAAGAGCACTAAGAAAGCTCGCAGCATACTGTGAATCTGAATGTCTCAAAATCAACTATCAAGATACCAAGATACTCGCTTTTGGGGAAAAACCAAAGCTTAGAAGCTGGGAACTCCAAGGCCATAAATTACAAGTCACAAACTACAAGTATCTAGGAATGGTGGTACAGGCCTCAGGAACCAACAAACTGCACATAAACTCCATCGGGAGTTCAGTGGAAAAAACTGCAAATTGTATTCTTAAATTCTTCAGAGCACAAGGGTGCTTCTTCGTTCCCACAGCTCTAAAATTATACAAGGCCAAAACTTTGGCACAACTCCTGTATGGTTCCTTTTTGGGTCCGCATTCCTCTGCTTTCTCCCCCCTTGAGAGAGTTCAATCTAGACTTCTTAGAGCTCTCCTCCAAGTCCCCAGATGTGCCTCAAATGCATGGGTGAGATTGGAAACAGGGATGATGAGAGTGGAGGCTAGCATTTGTTTAACATCAATCTACAAATGGCTGACATTGAATCTGCTCCCCCGAGGGATAGCCCCACTGATCCTCTGCGACCAATTCCAGTCAGGCTGGCAGACTGCAGTTCTGAACACCCTCCAGAAACTGGGTTTTGCCCCTCAAGCCCTTCTAAGTCTGGCAAAGAGACAACAGGACTGCGCAAAGTGCCCCGACTATAGAATTGAGATACATATCCGCACCGGCAGCATATCTCTTCTTTCTCGTATCTAGAAATGCAAGAAGGGCCTTTACACTCGCCAGAAGCGTGGCTCTTCCCTCGCCAGTCCTGGATGGAGCCTTTAGAAAAGTCCCCTATGCCCAGAGACTTTACACCTGCCCATTGGGAGAGATAGGAAGCCCAGAACACTTGTTCTTTAAATGTCCCTTTTACGAAGAGGCACGTGGTAAGTTCACTGATCCCCTACTGGTGAGGCTTGCTGACCTCCCGCAAAAGCAAAAATTTGACCTTTTGCTGTTAGGCAAAGATCAGAAGAAGACCTGGATGGTCGCCAGATTCTGTGTACAAATCTGTAGACGCAGACCATCGCCCAACTCAAAATAGTCCGGCATGAAAATCCCCAAACTCGGTTCCATGGGTGACTCTGAGTCAACTCCCTGGTATAGTTTATTGTTGCACATTGTTTCTAAATTTATTGTTGCACATTGTTTTAATTGTCTGTTTTAACCATATCTGCACATCAGTTTCTAATGCTGTGAGTGTCCTCTATTTCAGAGGCTTCTACTCTGCAGCCTCTTATAGTTGTTTTAACTGTGAGTCTTTTAGTTCTTACGCCCTTACAGTTGTTTTAACTGCATGTTTTTATTTGTTTTTAGTTTTTATCTGTTTTAATTATCAGTTTTTATCCATCCATTATCCGTGTTTAATCTTGTATTTTATTCAGAGGTTTTATCCTATGCTTGTTTCTTTGTCCTTATTTGCTCCAACATTTGTCAGTTAAAAAAATCCTAACTGCTATTTTATTTATATGTTTGTTTGTTTTTTATCCTGGTCTGTGACCGCAATAAAGTTCATTCATTCACATGTCAGAGAGGGCATTATAGGTTGTACAGTCGTACCTTGGAAGTCCAAATGGAATTCCCCTCCCTGGAAAATGCAGATAGTGGGTTTCTTTCATATATCAACAGGAATGGATTTCCACATAACAAGGGCAGCCACGCTAAAAACCCTGCTCTAAATTAACGTGGATCAGACATCTGATATCTTTGACACTCGAAGGATAAATTCTCCTGGAGAATGAAGTATTTTTTGACTGGAGAACTGCACTGAAATATTCAGGTAAGGGTGAAGGCTAGCTGTGTTTCAGTTAACGTTTTAGTTTGGGAACTGAAAATTAGGTAGGTTCGCATTAAAAGGTAAAATAAACACAGTTCTCCTTTATGCATGCATAAATTTAGAAACAATTTTATGTTCACAGTATAGCCAAAAACCCATTTTCTTGAATTCTGAGGCATGAGAACTTGTATCCTATGGCATGTGATCCCTATGAAATAATATTCTCTTGAAAATAATGCTGGATAATTCCCCCTTGAGTTTTTTAAATTATTTATTGCTACATATCTGATTTTATACCTACAATTCACCCCTCTCCCCTTATTAAAAATTCTTAAAATAAGATGGCTAGAATTATTTTCTTAACTTAGTAAGGCCAAAATGATGTAAATTACATTGTTTCCAATAAACCATTGGCAGAGAATAGAGGACTAAATCCAGTGAAGTTAATTTTAAAGAAACAAATTCCTGGTTGTTGTTAACTAGCCAGAATGAAAAATGCACATAGATATTGCTGTTGTGTACTGGGGAAGTGTGTAGCACTATAAATAATAATTCTCATTGGTCCACAGACATGCGAAGGAAGTGCCTAAGCTCAGGTCCTGCTGTTCTGTAAAGCTTCGATGAGAGTTTTGTTATATTCTGCAATCTGCTTTGTCACATTCTTCATTATAGGCCGGTAATCACTTTCCTGACTTTTCGTTGCTATAACTGATGATAAAAAGATAAGGAAAATTCTCCAACGTGCATCAGAGGGTGGAATTCAATGTCACGCTAAAATAAACATTTGGTCTGCACAAGCATATCTGCTTGCCAGACAGAATGACCCCCCCTTGCTATTCTGGGGGTCCTTGCAACCCCCAAATAAACACACACACACACATACATTGGGGGGGGGGCAGAAAGGGGGAAAACCCCATTGTGCAAGTGGAAGCCCTTGTGCATGATTTCAGTTTGTTAGATGGATTGTGTCCTAAGTTATAGATATTAAAATCTCCATGTACTACCTGGAAAAACAGCTGTTTTACTATGCATTTGCACCATTCACATTGAGATTTTGCAGGATGATACAGATGATCGTGAGTGAGAAAAGCAGTTTGGTCATCTGTGTGTGCTCTGAATGTACAGAAGGAAGGCAACCCCCCCCCCCCAATGATATCTCAGCAAACCAAACTGCTTTAAGGTTGTCAAATGCCTCAGATAAACTATAACGGAAGAGATACTGGGTGAGAGCTAACATTAGTCATACTCAGAGTAAACCCATTTAAATCAGTCGACTTAAACAACTTAATGGGTCCACTCAGATTATGACTAAGGTTGGATATCATCCATAATTTCCTGGCAAAAGTCTCTTCATAGCCATTGTCTCCTGTTGAACAAATAAAACAGTCCCTTTCTTTGGATATAATTATCTATATATGTAAACGTCAAGGCGTATGATGGTCATCTGTAACATGTGGAATAAGTCGTTGTACCTCCGGCTTTCAGAATAAAATGCTGAGAATGGGCATGATTCAGAAAATGTTAAGCAAGCCCAACTGATTTAAGAGACTTAAGCACCTGCTTATGTTCTTATTTACCATGATTATTTTCAGCATCTTCTCTCTCTCTTTTTTAAAAAGGATACATTCTTTCATGACAAAATTATTTTGTTCATGGTGTTGCCATTTCCTTTCCAAATTCGTAAGCTGCAATTACAAAATGAAAAAAAAAATAGCAAAAAAATAGCCACTTGCGTAACAACCAACCCCCCCTTAATTTACTTTAATTTATTAAATGTATATTCTGCCCTTCCACCCAAAGGATTCTACCACGTAAGTAAGATCAAGCACAATTCAGATAACATGCACGAACCTATACATAGCTATTTAGAAGTCCTACTACGTTCACTAGGGCTTACTCTCTAGTAAGTATGTCTATGTTAGTAGCCTTACTGAATCATTTAAGTCTCATCGATTTTCATATACTTAATCAGAGCTGTAGAGAAATTACAAGAACTGATAAGGATTCCAGCAAAGAACACACAGTTTGTAATTACACTGCATCAAAAAGATGGTTTGCAATCCATGCAAACCATGAGAATATTGTCTTTTATTACAGTGTGGAGACTATGATTTATGCATGACACTGAACTCTCATTATCTGTGTTTCTTTGTGGTTAACAACTGTTTTCAGACTATGTAAAGCTTATCATGCAACGTATCTTGAAACTATATTGAGCCCTGAACTGCACAGAAGAAACTTCCTCATTTCCATAGCTAAATTTCCTGTCTGATGCAAAAAGCTATGATAAGAGCAGGACTGCGTTGAGAAGATTGTAAGACTGCAGGCTAAATGTTGGGACTCCGACAACACTTTAAGCATCAACAGGAAGGCAATATGGCTATTATATTGATGGCTGCTTCCTAACAATGCAATTTGTAGAGCATTGATTTGCTTGGCTGGTGCTACTGTTCAAAGTTTGTGTCATCAAGACATGCAAGCTATTTGCAATGAATATTTCAGAATAGCTGTGCGGAAACCAACATTTAGTATGTGAGCGTAGTGCTATTTGGTACACCTTCCAAACCAGCAATTGCCCATCACAATTTCTGCTCAGAAAAAGAGCTCAATGCACTTTATTGATCCTCTGATGGCTAGTAGATTTTGGGATACAATGCAACAGGTGACAAAGAAAAGCTTCAATACATTTTACACGGTGACTTGTGTGCCACACTCAGCATAAATACAGCTGAGCCTTTCAAATTATCAAATTGTATTGTGAAATCCCATTTGGTTTCCACTGTTCCCTCTACTTTCCCGTCGTCAGTCTCTGAGTGTGGTTGTTTATGTAGCCAAAGTAGTTAACACTCATGTAAAAAAGGGAGTTATCAGCAGGATCAGAGGAAACCCAAGGTTTGCAAAAGTAACTCTGGGAGGAAAAGCTGGTTGGAGGTGTTGGTGTTAGGGAAGAATGGGATGAAGTGGATGGAATCCTAAACAGGGAACATTTCACAGTGCAAAAAAGTTGTTGCAGGTCCCACTTATTATATATATTGCATCACTGAGTCTCAATTGTTCAACCATGAATGTGCAAAAAGAAAACACAACTATTTGGGAGCTGAATATTCTTAATTCTGCCACATTCAAAACTGATACGGAAGAGGGATAGTTATCTCTTTCCCCCATGTTACCCCTGCCCTCAATTTCCCCTAGCAAACCTGTCGTTTTTCACAACAATAAAATCTCAGGGACATTAACAGAATGGCAGGAGTGAATGAGCACAAACGTCAGAGAATTATAGAAATATTAGACTTGCCTGAGATTTGGCATGGTTGGTACATAGTCACATTCACACTTTTTTCTTCAGTATGGACTAGTTTCTCCAAAATAATCTCAATTACTCTGATATCATTTTATGTATCTACTGTAATATTAATATTATTGCTCTTTAGTTCATAACTGGAAGAGTTCTGTGTTTCTTTTTTCAAATTTAGTCCTGCCGCAAGCAGCATTTCTTGGAAAGAGATCTTATGTCTTTCCACATTTTAAAGATTTTGAAGTTATTTAAAGAGGCTGTAAAAAAGCAATTTATGTACGCATAGACATATTATACAAAAGTTTCAAAACTCCAAAAAGGTGGAGAAAAGGCAACACCAAAAGGCAATAGGCATTTTCAACTGTACCTGTGAATGTGTCTCGTTCTCCTGCAGCTGCAACTTCAAGCTTTCATATTCTCTATTCAGATGCTCCATAGTTTTCTTGAAAGCATTCCTACGCTTCGTTAGTGTTTCTTTCTCTTTTTGCAGTTTCTTAAGAGTAAGGAAATAATAAAAAATGGAACATTAAAAAGCACTCATCTTAAAAGTGCTCTAGCTTATTTCTAAAATTCAGAGGGGGGGGGGAAGCATTTATGCATCTAAGCATCTGGCACTCATTCCCATGAAAGCATATAATCGTGTATACGACAGACGGCATGGAAAAAGTACGTGGTCGGTTCATGTGTGAAAGATGTATGGACTGATTTGTTTGACTGTGTTATGTTGACTGTAGTGACTGGTTTGCAAGTTGGCTAATCTTTCTGAAATGAAAAAATAGAAGCTATGTCTGAGAACACAAGGGCTTTCTATTTCTTTAAGAATGAAAATCCATGGCTCGTACATCACTGATAAGAAACCATTTGGCCACCCAAAGTTCTTAGTTTACAACTCTTACCATTCCTGACTATTTGCCATGCTGGCTGAGGCTAATGGAAGTTGGTACCTAACAACGACCAGAGCCACAGGTTCTCCATCCCTCTTTAATATGCTTTCTTTTTTTCGTACTGTGAAACATTTCCTCTTTCTGTACATAATATTGTACTCAGCTACTTTCTTATACCTTTCCCTTGAAAGCTTTTGTTCAAGACAAAAGAAGGAATGCAGATAATAAAGCACATTCTGCAGATAATGAACTACTAAAATAAATGCTAAGCCCAAGAACATATGTAGAACCCTGCTGTATCAGCTCAAAGGCCTATCTAGTCCAGCATTCTTTTTCTCACAGTAGCCAACCTCAAGCCAACGGGAAGCTCACAAGAAAGACATTCGCACCATAGTACACTTCCCCAGCAACTGATACTCAGAGACAAATATGCCTGCAAATGTGACATTAAGGCTGGAAAGCGATTCCCTGCCATATGGGAATCGCTTGCAGATGATCGCAGTGCCTGGAGACTGGCAGGTTGTGTAGCCACAGAAAGATCAGGAGGAATGACTGCTGGGAGGAATGCAGAGAGAATAAATGCCCTGGCGCACATGTAGCAGCAAAACTGGACGCCCTCATCTGCCCCAAAACACATTTCTCCCATACAGTGGTGCCCCGCAAGACGAATGCCTCGCAAGATGAAAAACTCGCTAGACGAAAGGGTTTTCCGTTTTTTGAGTTGTTCCGCAAGACGAATTTCCCTATGGGCTTGCTTCGCAAGACGAAACGTCTTGCGAGTTCTTGCGAGTTTGTTTCCTTCTTCTTAAAGCCGCTAAGCCGTTAATAGCCGCTAATAGCCGTGCTTCGCAAGACGAAAAAACAGCAAGACGAAGACACTCGCGGAACTGATTAATTTCGTCTTCCAAGGCACCACTGTATTGGTCTCTACTGTAACAGCAGTACAACGCTCCAAATGGTTTGACCTGACCCCTGAAGGTGCTCTCTTCCACTGTCTCCCAAGGCAGGAGGATGCCAAATTAACTCAACTCAAGTGCCTCTGAATCTTTGTAGTTGCACAGGAAATGTTACGTGTTACTTATCTCAAGGTCTGTCCCATGGAAGATGGAGCAAGCTTGTTTTCTCCTGCTCTGGAGGGCAGGACTCAAACCCGTGGCCTCAAGTTACAAGGAAGGAGATTCCGACTAAACGCCAGGAAGAACTTTCTGATAGCAAGAGCTGCTTGGCAGTGGAATGGTCTCCCTCGGGAGGCTGTGGACTCTCCTTCCTTGGAGGTTTTTAAGCAGAGGGTGGGTGGCCATCTGTTATGGATGCTTTAGCTGAGATTCCTGCATTGCAGGGGGTTGGACTAGATGACCCTTGGGGTCCCTTCCAACTCTAAGATTCTATGATGTGTTTTAATTTATGTTCAGTTTTAGATCTAAAACAGTGGTGCCATTTATTTTCTCTAAAAAAAGAAAAAAGCAAAGCAAAGCATTTTTTTACTCAGTTTTGATAAGAAATGAGAAGCCACACAGGAGCTACTGGTCCACACGACACTCTTCCATGCAGATGTGGCAGGTATGCAGCTACCATAACTACCTGACTGGGGGGTGGATCATGTGAGTAGCCACAAGCTGTTAACACCTTTGGGAAGCAGCTCCACCATGCCTCAGTGTACGAGTATGTAAAGGACACCAAGACAGAACATTTAACAAGATGCAGCTGGAATAACTCGGTCTCAAGCAAATATCATTAATGTGTTTTGACGGTTAACTACCTTTTTCTTTTCCTCTCCTGCTGTTTTCAGAGCTGGCAGATTGTTGTAAAGTTCCAGGTCTTTGGTCATTTGCTCTATTTTTTCTTTGAGAGAAGTCAGTTCATCAACCATCTTGCCTTCCAGCAGGCCCATTTTCTGGAGGTCCATCCGCAGACGTTGGCTGTCTGAAACAGAAAGAGCCAAGAAGCATTACTGACATACAATGGAGATTATTTTCTAGCACAGAGAGAAGTGAATCGTACATTTACTTATTCAAGGAGACAACTGACTCCTGCCTGCCTTGTTCACCTTGGCCTTAGTCCAGGAAAGCTCTTAAGTACGTCCTTAAGTTTTACATACAAATATCCATTATGTGATGAAGTAGTGGTATCGCTAAGACTAGTGTTGACATATTTGCAACAAAAACTGGCAAAGAGAAAGTAGCATTGTTGTTCTTAGCTTACATTTGTCCATAAAACTATGCAAAAAAAGATCTTGCTGCCCTTTTTAGTTTTAAACTATGAAAAGTGTTGTAAAGTCTCTAGGTGACCTGCTCATAAGGATTGTTTTGACTGGTATAATATACAGGACCCTCAATGGTTCTGTTGATAATTTGGAGTGGGGGGCGAGCACATCAATAGTATCTTAAGCTGAAGCATGTGTTAAAATAAACATGGTCATTCTCAACATGCATATTTTTGTTTTATTGTCTAGTAACAGACTGAGGTCATGCTGACTCTCTCTGCCTTTGAGTCTATTTAATATCTGCAATTTGGATGCCATATTTATTACCCTTACGTCCAGCTCTTAGGTGGGAGCTCCCAGTGGTTTCCCCACTCATGTTATAGATCACACTTGCCCAGCCCTGAAAACTCTTGACTGATCAAATGCTTCCAGAACATTAACTGGGTCCTTATGTGTGGCCTCCATGCTGAAGGCTGCGTTTGCAAAGGGGCCTAGAGGCATAGTCTGGTGTGTCTAGGCCTGAAAAACTGTGTACATGTCATAAGGTTTTACGCATAGGCCTCTATGCACCTATGGTGCCTAATGCGCAGATATCAGGTGAGCAAGCTGGAAAAGAAAGGTGCATGGCAGCAAAATTCTAACCTCTCCACCATGTGTTGGATTGAAAAATTGCATACAGAAGTAGTGACAAGCAGTTCTTCTCCTTAAGTAATTTTTGTATAAGAGCTTAATCCGGATTTAAGCAAAAAATAAAATAAAAATAAAAAATGGCCCAAGGAATTTCTTTAGGGGCATTTGGTGCCTTATATTAGGCACTGCGATTTTTGTTACCAGCCCTAAGCATTCAGGAAAAGCTGAATAAACAAAAATCACGGTCCCCTTTTATTTGAACTGCTTATTGCTGGCAACAGTGGCTATCGTGCTAAGTTGCTATTACAACTGCACTTAGTTTCTCCCTGGGGTGCCATCTCTTGCTCTTCAGGAAGTTGACTTCTTAGGTATAGCTCAGATATATTTGTGATAAACGAAAATCTGAGAGTGGCAGGGAATGATGAAAATGTATTACAGGCTTTTTTATTTTTTAAAAATGTTGTTTTAAAAATAGGCCCAGAGGTGGTACAGTGGTACCTTGGGTTACAGACGCTTCAGGTTACAGATGCTTCAGGTTACAGACTCCGCTAACCCAGAAATAGTACCTCGGGTTAAGAACTTTGCTTCAGGTTGAGAACAGAAATTGTGCGGCGGAGGTGCGGCAGCAGCGGGAGGCCCCATTAGCTAAAGTGGTACCTCAGGTTAAGAACAGTTTCAGGTTAAGAATGGACCTGCAGAATGAATGTTGTTCTTAACCTGAGGTACCACTGTAATAAGATTTTAGAAACTAGGGGTATATGATTGGAATAGGGTTGTTTTTTATTTTCACTGGGTGTTTTTTTAAATTCTATTGTTTTCCCTACAAGGTATTTGATTTGTTTGATACATGCTATCTCTTCAAAAGAGTGCTCTAGAATACAGTTTAACCCCAAATAGATTTGCTAGTATCTGATTCTCTATCTGCTTTGAACAGATTTATTGGAGTGTGATGAAGGCAGATGCAATATACAAGAAACAAAGTGCAGTTTTAGGGAGGGAAACGTGTAAATTTTTCTTATGAGCGAAGAAGCTCAAGAAATCATATTGATCTGGGAACTGTTAAGGGCAAATGGCTGTATATCCAGTGCTGTTATTTGCAGCTGTGCACTGACACACAGGAATCCGGAGAGAGAACACATGCACAACCTCATCACTGGACGGTCACTACTGGCTGTGCCACTGGGGCTGAGGGAGTGTTGTGGCATTGTCTTGCATGAACAGCGATGCAAAGACATGTGCTGCATTCTTTCCTTGTCTTGAGTGCACTGGCTTCCTCCGAGTTTGTATGCATGTTGATACTGTCATTGGGACTGGTAGGCTCTGCTAGAGTGTCCCAGGACCGTTGACCATTTCCCTATTTGTGTGCCTTTCCTGCTTCTCTTCCTGTGTTGAGCTTAGATTGGATACAGTGGTCATTCCACTGGTCTATTAGTAGCTTTCCCCCCATTCTGACATAAAATGAGTACAGTGGTACCTCGGGTTAAGTACTTAATTTGTTCTGGAGGTCCGTACTTAACCTGAAACTGTTCTTAACCTGAAGCACCACTTTAGCTAATGGGGCCTCCTCCTGCAGCTGCGCCGCAGGAGCACAATTTCTGTTCTCAACCTGAAGCAAAGTTCTTAACCTGAAGCACTATTTCTGGGTTAGCGGAGTATGTAACCTGAAGCGTATGTAACCTCAGGTACCACAGTACAGTCGTACCTTGGTTCCCAAAAGGAATCCATTCCGGAAGTCTGTTCAACTTCCGAAATGTTCAAAATCCGAGGCGTGGCTTCCGATTGGCTGCAGGAGCTTCCTGCACTCAAGTGGAAGCCACGTCGGATGTTCGGCTTCCAAAAAACGTTCGAAAACCGGAACATTTACTTCCGGGTTTTCGGTGTTTGTGAGCCAAAACGTACGAGTACCAAGGCGTTCGAGAACCAAGGTATGACGGTATAATATTGCTCTGGTATTGTAGCAAATAAGTTACAACAAGAGTTAAGAAACTTGTCTTTTCTTTGGGTGGTCTTCGACTAATTTTTAAAGGTTTTCTGCTAAGTGAACTTTTTCTTTTCATCAGAGTAATAATAATAATAATTATTATTTGTACCTTGCCCATCTGACTGGGTTGCCCCAGCCACTCTGGGCGGCTCTACATTTTCAAGCTGTAAGAACTCTGCTGGATCAGACCAAAGGCTCCAGCTGGCCAACCAAATGCCTATCGGAAGCCGTCCAAAGTCCTGCAACATCACTCTCCCACTTGTGATTCCCAGAAACTCTTATTCAGGGGCATTACTGCCTCTGATAGGGGAATGCAAACCTAGCAAGCAATGCTAAGTAGACATTGACAGCCTTGAGCTCTGTGAATCTGTTTAATCCTTCTTTAAAGCCTTCCAAGTTGGTGGCCACAACTACAACTTGTCAGAGCACATTAACTATGCACAGTGTGAAGAATCACCTCCTTGTTTTGAATTTTCCAACATTCAGGTTCAATGGATGGCGGCAAATTCTGTGAGAGAGGGAAGAAAGCTTCTCTCTTCCCACGCCATCTATAATCTTATACACCTCTATCATATCCCCTCTTGCTTTTCCTTTTCCCAAATGACTGAGGGAGAGGCAGTATATATGTACCGAAGAATATTTTTATGGGGATTGTCACGGGCCAGGAGTCAGCTTTGCCTGCTGAACAGCAGCCTGAAGGGGGAGAAGGTGAAAAGACTCCACACACACCTGTTCAGCCTTCAAGGTCACAGAGCAGAAGGCACGGATGAGAACCAGCTCGCTCCAGGCTTCTTAAACAGAGCTCTCAGCAGCAGTACACCTGAAGGAGTGTATCCACCCCCATTGTTATGCCCGGACGCTGAGGTCCAGCTCTGAGGGCCTTCTGGCAGTTCCCTCACTGCGAGAAGTGAGGTTACAGGGAACCAGGCAGGGGGACTTCTCGGTAGTGGCGCCCGCCCTGTGGAACGCCCTCCCATCAGATGTCAAAGAAATAAACAACTATCTGGCGTTTAGAAGACATCTGAAGGCAGCCCTGTTTAGGGAAGTTTTTAATGACTGATGGTTTAATGTATTTTTAAAATTTTGTTGGAAGCCGCCCAGAGTGGCTGGGGAAACCCAGCCAGATGGTTGGGGTATGTATGTATGTATGTATGTATGTATAAATAAATAAATTGTTGTTGTTGTTGTCAGATGCTGGAAATAATGCCTGTGGTCCCCGGCCCTCTACCTTACAGCTGCCAGTGATCCCTTGGCTCTGTGGTCATCTGGATTTTCTAACATCTGGACTGTATTTGTATGTGGATTCTGATCTCAGGTAAGTGTTCCTCAGAGACTCTTAGCCTCTTCTTGCTCGGCAAAGGGACTCAGATGGAGCTACAACAGGCATGGCCCATAGTTCAGTGACAGAGCCTATGCTTTACACAAACAAGGTCTCTGGTTCAACTCTGGTGCTTCCACTTCTAAGGGTCTTAGGCAAGAGGGTCTAACATGCCTTCTGCTTGAGACCTTGGACAGTATTGGGTGGGCAGACTGAGAGTATATGACAGTTTCATATGTCTTTGTGTATACTTATATGCCTCAAATGGCACTGGTATGCATTTAAAACATGACCTGCTTTCTACAGGAGGAGGAGCTGTAGAAGGGATGGGTTGTGGCTCGGTGGCAAAACACATACATTGAATGCAGGTGTTGGGTTCAGTCCCTAGCATTCCAGGTAGGGCTCAAAAAAATTCCTTCCTGAACGCCTAATGAGATACTGCTGCTTTGAGCAGACAGTACTGAGCTAGATGGAACAATGACCTTACTAGCTGTAGGTTGGCTTCCCCTGTAAAATAATCTGGAGAAAGTAAAGGATTTTCTTCAATCCAACTGCCATCCTACAGTGAAAAAAAAAAAGGAAAGGGAAAAAGGAAAGAAAAAAAATAACAACCCTTCTCTCTGGGAAGAGACAGGAAGAGGATGCAGTCCAGTTCCTTCTGATATGCCACTAAGTCAGACTTCAGCAAGCAAATGTGTACACAGTAGCAAATTCTGAGACAAAACTGCTTTGTGCTTTGACCCAGGGAAATGTTACTGGGAAATGCTGCCATCAGCAAATGTGTTTACTCACAGGAGTTTCCTTTGGGGAGGGAAGGAGAAGGATCTGTGCAATGATCTTTATACAAAGAGTGAGGTTGTGGCCCCGAGGTGCATTTCTACAGCACTACATGGGTTCACAAGGCTCTTTTGAACGGAGCACAGAATCAAATCGGAATTCAGGATCCCAACTTCCTTTATGTTAAAGAAGACTAAAGCAAAGTCCTCATGGGCAGAGAAACATATAAACAACAGTTTAGCAAGAATTACCCTTCAACTTTTTTTAGTGTCGTCAAAACTGTCCATTCGTGATTTAGAGCTTTTGGGAATAATTTCTATGCACGGAGGCACCAAATCTTGTTTTCTATGCATATAAGCAGGTGACTGGAATACATTTAAAGGGATATATTCAACATAGTGCTAAGTAGATAGTTCTATCAGCATGAACAAATCAGTTTGGATAGTATCTGGACTCTTGGGTGCGTCAAATGAAGTTTGTCTCCTGTAGTAGCTGTAGGTGTTTATATCTGGGTATTTTAATATAAATCGTACACTAATATGAGCACATGCATATGACACAGGTCATGTATCTCATAAAATTCTTTAAAAAGAAGAAGACAAAAATGACTAAATTTGCTGATCATCACTCAAAGTATTACAAGATTTTTACTGGCTTTAAACTGAATTTGGAAACGAAGTACCATTGCTGGTTTTAGCCTAGGGCCATGTTTTCTATATAAGTGTCTTCTCCAAAGTAGAATTGGAAGAATTGTAGCTGTGATAGAACACAAATCCTGCATGCTAAATGTCCCAAAGTTCAATCCCAAGCATCCCTAGGCTGGGAAAGATTCGTGTCTTAAACTCTGGAGAGCCCATGCTGGTCAGTATCATACTGAAGTAGCTGGACCAAAGGTCAGACTAGATGAAAACCAGTTTTCAAAAATCCTAACCTTACTGTCAATTAATATAATCTCTACCAGCCATTCTCTGGTCAGTACTGCTTTCTGAAGTCAGGCAGCTAGCTCTTTGATAAAGGGTATTTTCTGTAGGGACATGCAAAAAATCCTCTCGCCAGAGCTTGCCTGGGACCAACTCCATTATCCTTTAGGTGCAAGACAACATCTGTCCTGTTCATTTGGACTTTTATTGGTATTCAAGATATTTCAATGACTTTTATTGGCTGGTTTTATATTATATCTTTATCTGCTGATATGATGTTTTGGTTTCTGCAGTGAATTTTACTTTATTGGTTGTTATTATTGTAAGCTGCATTAAGGCCATTTTTTTGCACTAGAAGGTGGGAGAGAAATTTGTAAATAAGTACAACGTACACTTTGCTTGCCATACCTGTTCCCAGGTTTTTCGCAGTACTCTGTGATTTCTGCATTTCACTTGATTTGAAAGTGAGATCTTCCTGCATGATTTTCAGCTCTTGGTTTGTTACAGAAGATATCTGCTTCATGCGATTTACATTCTGCGTGATTAAAGAAGAGTAGTGGAAGATGAGACACCCCAAATGCACTGCTACAACTGGTGGCTTAACAATGAGAACGGCTGGAGTTTTTCCATACTACTGAAGTCAGCTACAGCAAATCCCATTAGGAAAAACATTTTAGCTGTTTGGAGTTCATTTATAAAAAGTAGAATGTTGTAGTTTTACAGACCATTGTATTGTCTCACCTACAATTGGGGAAACAGGGCCAAGGGTGAACAAAAGGTGAGAGGCTGGTGCAATTTGGGGAAGTTCAAGTGAGGATAGTTTTTGCTCCCAGTAAATGTTTCCCCTTCACATGCTATGGAATACCTTGCTTTCCAAAGCCAGGGCAACTCAACTCCAAATTGTGAATGTGACAATCAGATCCTGGTTTCATAAGCAGGAGCCGCAGTGTAAATTAAGTTGTTTTTACTGTGGCATGCCTTTTTTAGAAAGTGAAAATGCTTGTTCCTCCATGAAGCAGCCTTGAGTGACAAAAGCTGAACCCATGAAAGTTGCACATGAAAACCATTACAATGACATTTTCTTGAAATGTAGCCAAAGGTGTAATAATGTTAAAATAATAGTTTTATCGACTTAAATTTTCTGACTTTGGGGGGGGGATTTGATACACTAGGCAAAATAAGAACATATGAGGTTATATAAACAGGGAATGATTCTAGGTGCAGTTTGTACTGTACTTTAAGCTAGAAAGAGCATAAGTAACTACATCTGCCTAGTTTTAGTGCCATATGTGATAGAAGTAAACTATGAAATGTTTTGCTTCTTCTCGTTGCCATAAAAGGTTTATTAGTGCAATTAAAGACTGAGGTGTCGGCAGAAGAAACAAGGGTGGTTCTGTTTGTGAAGGAGGGTGGGGTTTGCAGGAAGAAAAAGATGCAATAATGGCTCTCCCTAAATTATGATTAAAAACAAAAAACAAAACAGGAGCCAGCCTTGGGAACCAAACCCCTCGTCATTCTGAAGCAGATCCCCCCCCCAATGCTATATATACCAAGTTAAGTGATGTTCTGGTATCAATGTTAACCAAAGTTATGGTTAAGCAGGATTCTCTTAACTAGGATCCAAAACAATGATTTCTAATGGGTTTCAGGGTCTGAAATAAGACAGAAGGGAAAGATTGAAATAAGGTTAGGGAGCATACATTTCCAAAGCTAACGATTCATTTGTTAACTGCAGTTAACAGGAAGTCTGTGTTATCTTTGCACTGGCCCCAAGAATAAGAGGGGTCAGGAAGGTAGTATGCTACTCTCTCTCCCTCTCTCTCTCTCATACTCTCTCTCTCTCTCCCCTCTCACATGTTAATGTCATACTTGTAAACTTTTTATATGTCAAGCAACCCCTGTAAACTTCAACTTGATATGCTTTCTGGAGAATAAAAGCAACTAATTAAATTATCACCAAACAATTTGATTATTTGGAAAGTACTAATAATTGTGATTGGTATCTCTTCATCTTTATTCTAAAGTAAGGAATAAAGGTGTATTCTTATGAAAAAAGGATTAAAAATGTTATCCTAGCCACATTTACGTAGCAGAAAAATCCTAGTGAATTCTACACAAATAAAATGAAAAACACCATCAGACTCCACACACCAACCCAATAATTTTTACTTGTTGATCCTCTTTTCCTTTGAAAATAGGATTACCTGTGAGGAAGATTATGCTTTTCCTTTGGTATCATTGCAAAGATGGTAAATAGTAAGTGATTTAATGCTCTTGGATTGACATGATGTACTTTTTGGGTAAGTGTTCCCATTGAAATGCCTAAAATAAGTTGGTTATTTGTTATTTTCTTTGGTTCTAGTTTGCTTTCATTTGGATTTGTTTACATAAAAATAAATAAAAGTAAAATGAAAATCACAGCAGAGTCAATGGAACTTACTTCCAAGCTTATGATTGGAGCCAAAGCCACTCACCCTGCTTGAATGCTCTAAAATTGCCACAATACTGGCCTCTATCTGTGTTTTCCGTTCTAGTTCCTGGTTCTTTGCCTCTTCAAAAGATTCAAGAAAGTCTGAAGATTGAAAAACAAGATAAGGGAGGCTGCTGCTTATAAAAGGAAAAGCAGAAAAGTCCTGAAATGTGACTTATAGCTATAAGGATTCTGAATTTAAAAGCAATTAAAAGTATATATAAACAAACATCTTAAAGCAATTTAAATGGAACCAAGAAATTTTATCTGTAAGGAATATCTAGAATGTGAGCTGGTTTTTGCAGCCTTTTATTCACCTTTTAATATCGATGTGGTGATCAACCAATGACAGGACAGTCAAAGCTCACATGAAGAGCCACATAAAAAGCTGCCCTCTTATTCTCTTCTATGCATCAGAAAATGTTTTACACTTGCAAAGAAGTACCCTTGTGGGACATCAATGCTACCAGCCTGGACCTCCTCCAACCGTGTCACTGCCCTGGCTCCAGTGAGCTGAAACAGTGCTGATGCCGGGAGGCCAATTGCTGTGCCCTGGGGGGAACTGCAGTGATCCCAATGCCACAAGGTCAGTGCTGCCGCTCTGCCCGTCCCCCTCTTGTGCCACTGCTGAAGCGCTCCATTAGAGCCCTGCAGAACTCTAAGACTACCATTAACATGATGCATAGATTACTTCCGGTGCATATACCGTATTTTTTGCTCTATAAGACGCACTTTTCCCCTCCAAAAAGTAAGGGGAAATGTGTGTGCGTCTTATGGAATGCAGGCGGGAGGCTCTGCTCAGCGCTCCCCTTAAGAGCCGCATGGAGCATGTGTGTGGCTCTTGGGGGCTTTTCCCCGAGGAGCGAGAGGGGCTGCCCTTCTTCCTCCTTGGGGAAAAGCCCCCAAGAGCCGCACACACGCTCTGCACGCTCTTGAAAGGGACCACGGCTCTTAGGGGAGCCTTCTGCCTTAGCCACGTGCAGCCACTTCCGGATAGGGGGAGCCTTCATCCCCCTGCCTGGGAGAAGCTGCGTGCGGCTATCCCATAAGCCAGGACAGCAAGAGGCCATCCCAGAAGCCAGATCCCTCTTGCTGTTCTGGCTTCTGCGATTCAGAATATTTTTTTTTCTTGTTTTCCTCCTCCAAAATCTAGGTGCGTCTTATGGAGCGAAAAATATGGTATGTCATCCTTCCAGGAGCAAAACTTTCCAATGTGGAGAAGGCGGCTGTGTGGGTGCAGTGGACATTTGTCCAAAGAGGGAAGCTCTGACTCAGGAATTGGCAAGGTTTACCTCGCCTGGGCCGGTTCACTCCAGCGGAGATCCCTGTGTGGGTCAGATCGCGCGCATGCCTGCAATTTCTGGCGTCTGCGCAGACGCAATTTCCTGTGTTGCGGAAGCGAGTCCCCGCACCGGTTTAGCGCAGCAAGGGGAGGCTTGGCTCATGGGCTGGTTAAACGACCCCTGTAGGCCACTTGTGGCCCACAGTTTGCCGACCCCTGCTCTGACTCATGCATGCATGGCAGCTCCAAATCTACATCAGAGTTCCTGCATGCTGAAGGCAGCTTTTAAGTCAACTGAGCACTGTAAAGGTGCACAAAACGCCTTCCTTATCTAGTTCTCCTCTGAGGATAGTCTCCTGACAAAAGCAAAATCTACAGATGCATCCTTATACAAAAGCAGCTTAAGAAGGCCATATGGAACTTAAAAAAATGTCTTGACTGATAATTTGAATGCCTGAAATAGCAATCAATTATTGCTCTATACCAGGTATGGCCAAACTTGGCCCTCTAGCTGTTTTTGGACTACAGTTCCCATCATCCCTGACCACTGGTCCTGTTAGCTAGGGATGATGGGAGTTGTAGTCCCAAAACAGCTGGAGGCAAGTTTGGCCATGCCTGCTCTATACACTGCTGCAAAGCCAGTGGCTATGTGGGGAAATGTCTTTGGCTAAGGTTGCTAAATTAAGAACAGCGATCAGGCCAGGTGACCAAAAACTATTAATGCAAATGAAATGTGCATTAAGAGATGCCTTCATTTTGACAATGCAAGTCAACATACATTTGAAACTACTTACTGTCCATGCTTTCTTCTCTTTTCTTCAACTCCTTGTATTTCAGATTCTTCTCACCTACAAAAATGCCATTTTAAAATTAAACAGTTAATAATTTAAGACTGCGATCTTCTCATTTACTTGGAGCTAAACCCTACTGAACTCAGAGGAACGCACAGCCCAAACTGTCTCTGTTTGATTTTCCATTTCTCCCTTTTACTACAACCTCTCATATCACATCCCAAGAGGCTTTAGGGAGGCACAGGGGCTGCAGTGAGTAGCTGGTATGGGAAATACCCTTTGTGCAAGCATCTTTCAACTAGAACCGCATGCAATCCATTCCTATACCTTTTGTTCTTTGACCTGTTTCAATGAATCTTGTTCATTTAGGAGCTGACCAAAATCCATGTATGGAAATATATTCAGTGCTTGAGATAGAGGGAGTACCTTGTATACTTTGTTTGTATTTTAATGGGGTTAATTCAGTCTTTAAAATATATAAAAATTATTCCAGTGGATGTCTTGTGTTTCATAAGCAAAAAATTTGAAAGGATAAGCTAAATATAGATATATTTAGAGTCAAGAATTCCAACATCTTCTTTCCTCCCCAACAGTATTGTATCGACATCCCTTCAGCTTTCCTTCATATCTAACATATACAAATTATAAACATATGCAACTGGCCCCAAGGGACCATGATTTTCCTTGAACTTCCTTGCAGCTGTGAGCCTGTTCCTGGCTGACTCTCCCTTTCATGATACAGGAAAACTTACCAGAAGTGCCCTGAAAAAGTCTAGCCCACTTCTCAGAGTCCATGAATATACTCCTGGACTCATTTTAAAAAATCTAGAGAATATTTCTACTTCTTTGTTTTATTACTCTTGCCACAAAAAAACCAAAACAGACTCATGTAAAAGTGGAGAGTGCTGTTTTTGCTAAGCTACCACCAAAGCAATCTATTTCTTACCGTCTATAGTCATCCAAATGATACAAGAAAATAATGCAAAAGCAATATGCAAAGAAAAAAGGATAAAAGCAGAATGAAAAAATTGTTACCATTATTTGAAAACGGAGAGACCAAAACAAGCAGTGATGGGAGTACCTAGTTTGCAATCAAGAAAGAACAATACTACAGTGGTGCCCCGCAAGACGAATGCCTCGCAAGACGAAAAACTCGCTAGACGAAAGGGTTTTCCGTTTTTTGAGTCATTCCACAAGACGAATTTCCCTATGGGCTTGCTTCGCAAGACGAAACGTCTTGCGAGTTCTTGCGAGTTTGTTTCCTTTTTCTTAAAGCCGCTAAGCCGTTAATAGCCGCTAAGCCGCTAATAGCCGCTAAGCCGCTAATAGCCGTGCTTCGCAAGACGAAAAAACCGCAAGACGAAGAGACTCGCGGAACGGATTAATTTCGTCTTGCGAGGCACCACTGTATTTAAGTTCCTTAACAGAGTAGTGATTAGCAGGAACTAGGAATAAGACCCTTTGGATATATTCAGGCTAAATTAACAATCGTCTACATCTCAAATATTTTTTCTCATGATCTCATATGGGATACTAGGGCTCAATAATATATACATACTCAGAGAAGCATATATACACATTCTACAAATGGTCCTGTATTATGTCTTCATATTTTGCTGGAAGCTGCCCAGAGTAGATGGGGAAACCCAGCCAGATGGGTGGGGTATCATCATCATCATCATCATCCATAAACCTTGCATTCTGTAGTGAAAACACTAACCCCGTCTATGCCAACAGGATACTGCTGTTCTTGCTGAAGTCTGGACCGTTGCTTATATATGGGGTGGTAGCAGGCCACAGTGAAGACTGCAACAGTCTAGTCTGCTCCCGCATGCCCTGCCCCACAGGCTCAGCTGGATTGGCCAAAGTCAAATGACAGTGATGAGGTGGGAGCTGGCCCGGAGATTTTCTAACAGCCAGCAACCTGGTGGCTGCTGCTCCGGTGGTTGCGGAGCCAATGGCAACAGGCTACAACTGCCACCCACCCCAGTCTGGGTAAGCAGCCATTCTTGAAAAGAATACTACGCAAAATAAGGAAGTATGTGCATACAGTGGTACCTTGGGTTACATACGCTTCAGGTTACAGACTCTGCTAACGCAGAAATAGTGCTTCAGGTTAAGAACTTTGCTTCAGGATGAGAACAGAAATCGTGCTCCGGCGGCGCAGCAGCAGCAGGAGGCCCCATTAGATTAAGTGGTGCTTCAGGTTAAGAACAGTTTCAGGTTAAGTACGGACCTCCAGAACGAATTAAGTACTTAACCCGAGGTACCACTGTACTTGTTCCATTTGCAAAACTGATTTGTATCACAGAACTTGGACTGGACTTAGTAAAGGAACTGGCCTATCCTGGTACAGAGTACACATTACCCTGACTAGGAAAAACTTCATCATGTTATCTTCGCTCACTATTCTCACCCCCTGAGGTCCTTCAAAACACGAAGAAACCTTCCTGCCAACAGCAGATTTTTGTGTGCACGGATCTTCAGTACCCTCAATCCAGAGATCATAAATGAATGGGGAAATCACAAATTCACCTCTGAATCAGATCTACTACATGGAAGAAAAACTAAACAAGATGGCACCTACATTTTGGAACTCCCTGCCTATTGATATCAGACAGACACCTTCATCGTACCATTTTCGACATCTGCTAAAAACATTTTTGTTCAGACAAGCTTACCTGGATACCTAGAATGTTGATGTGCTTTTAGTTTATTGCTGGTTTAAACTTTCTGAATGTTTTAACTGCTTTGACTAATATTTTTATTGTTTTGTTCATTTTGATTTCAGGGCTTTTTTAAACTATCAAACAGTATATAATTTTTTATGAAATAAGTTTATTTAGAGTAGACCTATTGAAAATAATAGACCTAACTTATTCATGTCCATTCATTTCAATCGGCCTGTTCTGAGTAAAACTGAGTTGAATACCCTCCTAATAATGTTTTTTTTAAAACCAGGTTAATAGGTCCTGTCTATTTTACCTTGCTGCTCCTCTAAATCCATGTCAAGCTGCCGTATTCCTTCGTTAAGTTGGTTGATTTTTTCTTTTATGTCTGTCAGCCTAAAACCATGCAAAAACTAAATGATGAAAACTGAAAAAGTACAGCATTTAGCAGGCATTTTCTGGAAGGGAAATAGCAAGGTGAATGAAGTTAACAAATGTAAAACTCCAACATCTTTTAGTTTCTTTCCCTAACATCTCTTAGGTCCTTAGCATTCCAGCACTGACTCAATGTATTTAACTTTAAACAGAAACTTGATTATCCCAAAGGAGCGATCTCGCCTTGTTTAACTTAACAAATGGGTCCACCTGCTGGTTAATCAGCATTATAATAATGACTTGGATTGCAAGCCTATACTAATTCACCTACTGGGAGTAAGTCCCACTGAAATCAATGGGGCAGACATATATAGGATTTCACTGTTTGCTATAATAGAAGAATGCACAATTGTCATTAAAGCCAGGCATCCCCAAACTCGGCCCTCCAGATGTTTTGGGACTACAACTCCCATCATCCCTAGCTAACAGGACCAGTGGTCAGGGATGATGGGAATTCTTGTCCCAAAACATCTGGAGGGTTGAGTTTGGGGATGCCTGATTACAGCCATCTTTAGCCATTATGAAGGGACAGAAAACACATGAAGGGGATGACTATATGAGGTCTACTTCTCTTCTATGCCTGTAGAGGTTTTCTGCATGTTTAAGAACCCTGGAAATCTTCCACCTTGCCTAAGCTCCTTTCTGCCAAAATTCCCCTGGAATGAGGTAAATTGCCATGAGATGAACATGTAGATATGGGGAGAAACTTGGTTGAGTAAATACAATCTTTGGCTTTACATACTACTTGCTTTTAGCACTTTAGTAACAGTTCAAGTCATCCCAAATAGATCATATCTCAGTTCAAAATACGTTGTAACTAGAAGTGTTTTGTGAGGCATTCAAAAAACACAAGGTCTTTATATAGCCTATAAGCAGCTGCACTATACAAACTGGTTATATGAGTTGAGCAGCTTTGCAGAAATAGATAAGAGAATTGCATTTATATTCAGAACCAGGGTCTAAAAGAACAATATGGAACAGCACTCACTGTCTCTCCATGCTTGCTATTTCTTGGTTGTCTTCCTTCACCTTTAAAAAAGAAAAAAAGAAACATATAATCATTAAATAACAATGGAAAACCAAAGGTAGTTGGTCTCTGCAAAAAATTTCCTTTTTCTTTCTGTATATTTGGATGTAATGTTTAATTTATTATTTTCTCTGGAATTTTAAAAAACGCAATAAAGATTTTTTAAAAATTACTTGGTTATGCTAAAAATGGAGACCACATAATAATAATAAATGACATCTGTCAGTTCTGTTTCTAGCGTCATTATCAATAGTTGGTGGTTTGGACAGAGGTGCTGTTAGGTTTCCAAGGGGTTGCTCGAGAGCAAGCAGGCAAGTACCTCCCTGCTCGGCTGTGAAGCCTTGCTTTTGATGCAAAATAAACTTTATCTGTCTGGAGCGCCACTCTCCCGTGGCTGACTCATTCACTGGCAGAATCCGTGAGTGGGCGGGGCTTAAACTTTTCCCAGCAGTTTCTTGATGCCCAGTCTGCGCCTCCCCTCTCTGCGCGAAACCTTACTGCGCAAGTAGGGATTGGGTAACGGTGGACCTCTCCCCTCCCCGCTTTGCCCAGGCAAGGTGTCCTGGCAACTCCCCTCCTCCGAACCCTGCAGCTCCTCTCCCCTGGAGGTGTGGGACCTCTCCCCTCCCCGCTTTGCCCAGGCAAGGTGTCCTGGCAACTCCCCTCCTCCGAACCCTGCAGCTCCTCTCCCCTGGAGGCGTGGGACCTCTCCCCTCCCCGCTTTGCCCAGGCAAGGTGTCCTGGCAACTCCCCTCCTCCGAACCCTGCAGCTCCTCTCCCCTGGAGGCGTGGTTACTCTCCCCTGCCAAGGAGGAGCTGCTTTCCACTATCTTTGAGGGCTCTCTGTAATCCATCCGGCTTTTCCTCTCTCCCTCCTGAACTGATAGCAGTTCCCTGACAGGTGCTTACTTGACCTCCAAGTTTTCACTTTTCAACTGCCCTTTGTTTGCAAAATCTCTTCATTTCTGTCTGTTTTAACACTCTACATACCTGTTTTAGCAATCTCTCTCTCTCCTCCTGTGGAGAGCCCATACTTTTGTCCTCTGCCATCATTTGATTCCGATGTTCCTCAAGGCCATGAAGCTTTTCATACAGTTGCAGAGCCTCCTGTTTAACCTGGGAGTGTGCTATTTCCTGAAGAGATAAACTTCTTTACTAAAGTGATGAAATATTTTGCTAATAAAGTCATGTAAGTGATCTGTTAAGAATTTTTGTACATCAAGCAAAAGTGCTCATGTGTTGAACCTGCCAGGTAACAATTTATTTATGATTTGTTTATAAAGAAATATATATCCCTGAATACTGTTTGCAAAAAAACAACAACACCCATATAAATACAAACAATAGCATTCAATAAAATGCCCTTTAAAACTTGATAAAAACAAAACTATACATCCTGGATAAAACTGAGTAGAGAACTAAAAATCAAGAGCCTACAATCATTGAGTAACAAAGCCCATGGTTTCTATTACAAGCATTAATTGATATTCAGTGTCCAGATAAATCAATAGGCTATCATGGGATTTTGGCCATATTTTCTTAATGGAACAGCAAAAACAAAAAACAAAAAAAACAACAACTTATGCCAGCTTTTGTTTTCTTACTAACAAAATTTAAAACACCCTCAAATTTCAACCATTTTGTAATTGAATAGAATTTAATGTCATACATACAGCTTCTAGAGACTGTTCTTTTATATTCACAGCATCCAGTTCTTGCTGTAAAGCACACAATTCCTACAAGAGTAAAATAAATTAGTATGCAGGTCCTGCTACTGGAATGTTCATTACCCGAAATCTGTTACCTGAACACAATTAGTTATACCCAACCTTTGCTAAATGAAAGACCGGTTCAGATATCCTAACAGCTGGAGTTTGTCTAGTTCCTTGTGTTTATCTTGGCGGTGGCAGCATTTTGGGCAGAAACCATGGAGAGAGGGACAGAGATAGGGCACATCAAGGAGCAGAAAAGATCAGAGAAATGAGGGAGCAGGAAGGATCAGACAATTCGGTTTTTCTTTTCTTTGGCTGATTGACTGCAGTAGTTTCAGGCAGAAACCAAGGAGGGAGAGTTGTTTAGTTGATGAGTCGTGTCCGACTCTTCGTGACCCCCTGGACCAGAGCACGCCAGGCACTCCTGTCTTCCACTGCCAGTTTGGTCAAACTGCAGGAGGCAGTGGAAGAGGGAGGGAGGGAGAAAGGACAAATCATGGAACAGAAATGTTCATATAGGAAATACTGGAAATCACCAGCTCATTAAGCGAAAGCTCGCCTAACGAACAATTTCCTAGGAACACAATGTGTTTGGAAAGCAGGACCGGCGTGTTTGGTTAATGAAAGCTACCAGAGGCTCCGTGCATAGAAAATGGACCCCTCCAAAAAATATGGGGAGTTGACAGCTTAGTCAAGATCATGCTATCCTACATAAAAGGATTTCAGCTTTTGGATTTCCGCTACAGGAGTTCTTTTTCATTTATCAACGCTTTATCGATTGTGCTGGGGCTCATCAAGATGTAGTTCAGACATGAAAGCGTCACCTGCAAGAGCTTTTCATTTGCCACTTTCATCTCCATGTATTTAGCTTGATCCTCTTCAGACATATTTTTGACTATGTTTTCCGCTGCCTGCTTTTCCTGCTGGATGTCATCTTCCACAGCTTGAATGAGATTTTCTTTGCTGCATCACAAAAGCAAATATTTTGTAAATCTGTTTCATTTTTTAAAAAAGGTTATTCAAATCTCTGATTTACACAGAAGTACTCAGCTTGCTCTACTAGCTTTTTGTTCTGACAAGTGCTAAAGAAACATGGAGAGAACACCATTTCCCTTTCTTCTAACCACTGCTGCCACTGCCCATTTTCTCTCCCAGATGAGTACCAGAAACAAGGAAATTACTTCAACTCCCCTCTGCTGAAAAATTCCAGGGAGGAAAACCATAAGTACTTTCCTATTTAGCATGTAGGCTGACCGAAACCAAAGTGTCAGAGTTAAACTAAATCTGAATCAAATGCTTACTTTGCTCCCTGCCCCACAAATAGATGAGAAGCTCAGTCATCAATTAAAAGATTTTGTTTGAGCTCAGACCAGAACAGAACCATCACCACAACAAAAAACAGGTCACTGATATTATATATATGGCATTTTAGACTAGTACACTCTCTGGTCCCAAACAACAGTCCAATTCACATGACCAGTGAATGAATCAGAAGCATCTTTATTTGCATCAGCTACTAGCCACAGCAGTAGCCACAGCGTGGGACGCGGGTGGCACTGTGGGTTAAACCACAGAGCCTAGGACTTGCTGATCAGAAGGTCGGCGATTCAAATCCCCGTGATGGGGTGAGCTCCTGTTGCTCGGTCCCTGCTCCTGCCAACCTAGCAGTTCGAAAGCACGTCAAAGTGCAAGTAGATAATAGGTACCGCTCTGGCGGGAAGGTAAACAGTGTTTCCGTGCGCTGCTCTGGTTCGCCAGAAGCGGCTTAGTTATGCTGGCCACATGACCCGGAAGCTGTACGCTGGCTCTCTCGGCCAATAAAGCGAGATGAGTGCCGCAACCCCAGAGTCGGTCATGACTGGACCTAATGGTCAGGGGTCCCTTTACCTTCACCTTTACTAGCCACAGCAATGCAATGCAATGCGGTAAAATGTACTGAAGAAACAGGTAAAAACTTAACTATAGAAAATACATTTTGGGGGTTTACATCAATAATCAAATAGTAGATCTTATTCTAATTGCCCCCGCTAAAAACATTGCAATTTTTGATGTCATCTGATCATATTGATCTGCTAAAAGAAAGGACACAGTAGCAATGGTTGAGCGACTTGGCATGGACAATAATAGAGGGGTAATAACCTCAATCCCCAAATCTTATAAAGAGTGCAAGCCAGAAGCACATGAGCCAGTGAATGTGTCAAAGGGGATCCAGGTTTATGCTCACCGTCTCTGCTTCCAACCCTTTTCTGCATTAAGCTTCTGAACAGAGCCCACAGGCACACTTTGTAGGGGCATAAGCCTTCTCCATTTAATTTGCACTCTGCATTTTGCAAGATACTAGATCTCAGAAAGAGAGAGAACTGAAGAGGGCAGGAGTGGGGATTGTGGGTGTGAGTCTGACCCCTCCCTCTGTTGTGTGCCAGTGCTTATGTAAATAGAGCTAGCTTGAGCACATGAACTCCTACCTTGAAGGAACAAAATAAAAAAAATTCCTTCCAGTAGCACCTTAGAGACCAACTGAGTTTGTTATTGGTATGAGCTTCCATGTGCATGCACACTTCTTCAGATACACTATCTTGAAGGAAGTTATACATTTTGGGCTCGCGGAAAACATTTGTACTGTGCCTTCTCTAAGGGTTGGGAAGCTGCAGGAAGCTTTAAGGCTGAAATTTACTATTTAAGATTATGAGGGAAAACAGCTTGGCAGGGGAAGGGTGAGAGTGCCCTGACCCTCATGCAGTAGCTTGGCTACTCTCTACAGCTGTTACTGAAACCTTCTCCCTAACCTTTGAGCTAAGTGAAGCATGCACATTCTTCCTGGGGAAAATCCCGGTCTGTATACCTGTGCTGGTAAGGCCTATGGCACTGTACAGAACTGCAAGCTCTGAGTATCCAAGTTTGGGTGGCATTAAAAGATGAGAGAGAGAGAGAGAGAGAGAGAGAGAGAGAGAGAGAGAGAAACAATCTGGCAAGCAGCAGCAGCAGCAACAGCAATGTGAGCAACAGGATCAGTTTGGTAAAAATTGCTCTTCATATTTTTTCCATCACACTACATCTTTCCATATTACGTTATCAGCCGTATTTCCCCTGTGTTCCTTCTCAGCTATTAGCACTCTCTCTCTAACACATTTAGGATACTGGCTTACCTGAGATTGGGCCCCATGGAAGTTAATGGGCCTTACTTCCGAGCAGACATTAAAGAATTGCTCTATTAAGTATCATATTACAGTAGTACCTTGGTTGATGAATGCCTTGCTACTCGAACGTTTTGGCACCCGAACGCTGCAAACCTGGAAGTGAGTGTTCCAGTTTGCAAATGTTCTTTGGAAGCTGAACGTCTAAAGCGGCTTCTGATTGGCTTCCGGAGCTTCCTGCAGCCAATCGGAAGCCATGCCTTGGTTTCCGAATGTTTTGGAAGTCGAACAGACTTCTGGAACAGATTCCGTTTGATTTCTGAGGTACAACTGTATTTATTCATTTAATCTAGACAAAGCCATTGCCGAAAGCTAAAACTATCATATAGGAAGATTAGGGCACAATATCACAATGATCACACCCACTCTATCACACAGGCAAATCACTATCGTAATATGAATATTTATACTTTCTCATGTGAACCGAAGATGAACTGGCACACGCGTGTCAAATAGGCTACTGAATCTTTGTTAGCCTAAACTGGAATCAGAGCAACTATAGTCATAGCTGAATCAGAACTGATCCAAAATGTTTAGTGCCTTCTCCTCTCACTGGTTTTGACTTAATGATACATGTGACATATAAAAGTTAAAGGTGATTTTTAATTCTTTGAATGTAACTTATACCTAACCTCCACCCTGATCAGCATGTTAACAACTGCAAAGGCTTTTAGCTGTTGCTTTTAATATGCACTTTGTATATTTATAATGTCTGATGTTTGGTAACTGTACCCCACTAAAAAATAAACTTCTACCCATGGCTCTCTGTTTCCAATACAATCATGTTTTATTGGAAACTCTAACCGTGGGTAAACTTGCTCTTTCGCCCTCACTTCATGTCATAAACATGATACCTGATCATATTCTAAAACTTCCTTATTGGCTGCAAGTCTATTAAGTCACATATGAACCCAAGTCAATCTTTTGCTAAAGGCATTCTGAAGTTCCTTATTTTAAACGACCTGCTTGCTAATAGGGTACAAAGGTTGAAGCCAAGCGAAGTTAACATTGTACTCTTCTTTTTTTTTATCCACAAGGATACACGCAAACATGTATATGATGTTCCAGAGAAAAAATAAGAAGGTAAGTGATTGGGTAAACTGCTAGTATTATCAAACGTATAGATGTTTGTTTTATTAACAAATGTATAATAAAATACATTGTTTCACAATCCAACTATTAAGATTATAGTTTAAATATTATATTGGTTCAAAGCTGTATGAATTCACTCGATGGCTTTGCAAGAGGACATCTTTGGAAGCTTGGAAAATATTTTTCAAATGTTTCCCCTCAGTTTAAACAGGGAAGCTGCCCGTTTTATTCTTCTTAAATAACGGAGGGCCTTTAATGGAACACTTCAGAAATAAATGTTAATTCCTGAAGAATTTTACTTGATTTTAATACATATATACATGGTCTAAAAGGAGGAAGTTTTCACAAGAGACACTACAACTTTTGTGTGGGTTTTGCGAGGCTATTGATATTACTTGTTTGGGTGCTCCAATGTTTCTAGATACTGCCGGCTGTGCTTTTCTCTATCTTTTCAGATTTGCAAACTTTTCCCTATAGGGAAGGGTCAAGCAGTTCGCACCAGTTAAATAGATATGGCTCATGTCTTGTGTAGCCTTGATCAGTGGCGCCATTTCAGAGCTCTGGAGGGAGGATGGGCAGGAAGAAAGATTCTAAGTATCTGAAGTACTGTATAGCTGTTGCAGTTTCTTTCTTTAATATTTGGTTACAGCTATAGCGATAGTATTAAGACATCTGATGAAAGTACACCAGTACTTGGAATTTTTTTTTTGTATTTCTACAGGACACCTCAACAGATCACAGCTATGTCGTTTTTTAAAGTATCAGAACACTAGGTGAAATAGACAAAGACAAGAGACTTTAAAAAAGACTGGGAATCGTTCATGATGTATTTACAGAAATATTGTAAAGAAATGGACTCACTAGCAGGGTTTGAGTAAAACACTTACAATTAAGAAAACAAGAGTAAAGGTTAAGAAACACAATGGAAATTAATTAAATGTAAGAAGTAACTGGAAGAAAATTTGGTAGAAAAATGATAAGAATGTAAGAGCATTCAGCTGAAAGTTGAAAAATAAGAGAAAATTTAAGCAGAAGTAGCAAATTGTCAAAGAAGCAGAAGGAGAAGTTGAGGGAAGTCACGGGGTGGGGGGGAGTTTTGTTTTATTCTATTTTTTTTAATATGATAAATGTGTTGAATATTAAATTGTAAATTTTAATAAAAAATTATTTTAAAAAAAGAACACTAGGTGAAATAATTTCTTGAACATTGACAGATGACAAAGGCCTGATTTCATAGCACAAACTATATATAGTTTACATTTCCATATTTTACTCAGTTCTACAAATCCTATTGATTCACTTGGCTTTGCAATCACAACTATGATACTCTTTGTGAACTTCTTTTTCATCATCAAATTGAGCTTCAGTACTATTCAAGCGATAACGTGTACCTACAGGTTCAGAATATGAAGCTTGCTTGGCTCCCGACACTGGTTGCAGCTCTCTTTTTACATCCAGTTGCTGCTTCTCAAACGGTAAGCTTCATAACCGAATCAAGCTACTACTACTTGGCTACTTTTCCTATAAAGCTGTTAACAGCTCGATCCTTTACATGTGTTTTATGAAGAAAGCCACATTGTGTTCAATGTGGTTGACTCCTATGCGTACTTAAGACTGCAGCCTAAGGCTATTTTAACTCCTCTTTTGGGGTGGGGTGGCAGAAATTATCACATTCATATATATGATAGGACCTCCGCTGCCTTGCGGGATATCTTCAGAAGGAAAGGCTTGTAGGTAAACCCTACACAAATCCGGAGTGCAGTCCCTAAGACGGTTGGATGGTACTTCTTTCCAGCAACTCCTGCCACCAAGCTGGTGTCAAACATATTGCTATGATTTCCTTTAGACCACACCAGCAAGGTCTGGTCGTCTGAGCAGTCCAGGAATACCATACACACTGCCCAGGCTTGCGCCCTGGGGAGGTCGCTTGGGTGCAGCTAACGTGGTGATTTGACTTCACCCCGGAGGCGAACTCCATTGTCTTTCGAGACAGATGGATGCCAATAATATATATGATGTACGGTATGTGAAAGATCCAAAACCCGCAGAATACAGTGCCCAACCAATCATAATATGATTCTCATCGCCTGCAAAATACGGTAGTTATTTCATGGTACTCCCTTCTTAGCACCAGGAAGAAATATTCCATGAGTTTTGTTCTGGTCATTGTAGGCTGGTACGGGATGTGCCTTGCATTAAGCGAGGTGGGGAAATAGATGATCTTTTTAAAATAAAAGTTCCCTTTAGCCCTACAACTCTCTGCCAAAGCATTTATATTCAGTCCTGAATGATTCAGGTATTTCAGATTTCTATGCTCAATATTCTACTGTAGAAAAGAGTTTAACTCCAACATTTTTTATTTGAGCCCCAAGATTTCAACAAAAAAGGAGCAGGCCTGTTTTCCTACAGCCTGAACTACTTTTCAAGGTCATTTTCTTTCACATACTGATCATATAGCTGACTCTAATACTGTATGAAAGACCACAAATCTGAACAGCTGTAGCTTTATTTATGGTTACATAGTTGTTTTGTGCTGCTGCTTTTGTTTCTATATTGTTGATACACTTTCAATGTTGTTATAGGATTGTATTTTGCAATGTCACCTGTTCTGATTTTCTTTCTGAAGATTAGCCGGGCAGAATTTTCCTTTACAACAAACAATAACATCAATATATTTTAGAAAAGTTTTCATATCCCTATATATGAGAGCTTGATGAACATATTATCTGTTTTATCCTGGTAATCTTCCCCAATCTGTATTTGTAACATTTTCTCTCTCTTTGTTTAACAGGTTAAGTGTGAGGAAGCAGCAAAAAACTATACTTCTGTTCCTCCTGGCCTAGACAAAAATGTTTCTATACTAGTTCTCAGTTACAACAGCATCACTTTAAATGAAAGTGATACCACAAATCTTCAAAAGTACATGAATATTACAGAATTATACCTAAGCAACAATTCCATTTCTATTCTCCGTAATTTTACTTTTGACAAACTTTCAAAATTAGCAGTTCTAGATGTAAGCAATAATTCTATCAGTACAGTTGAACAAGCAGCATTTGCTGGTTTAAATAAACTAAAGATTTTGCACCTACAGAATAACAAAATTGTGCAATTAGATTCCAGTGTGTTTGTATTGCTAAAGAGCTTGGTGGTCTTAAACCTAAAAAATAACCTTATGAGATATTTTGATGCAAAAATATCCCTTAATTTAACCAATGTCACATTAATTGGAAATCCATGGAATTGTTCATGTGACCTCATTAGTTTACAGAGTTGGCTGAAGACCACTAAAGTAACCATGGGTAAGTATCAAAAAATGTATTGGTGTTTTAATCTATACAATTTCCGTTTCAGGAGGACTAAGTGTACTCCGTTGATGTATGAATTTAGCTATCCTCACATATTTTTGAGATAAGGATTCCTTTAGACTGAGAGCCAAAAATGCTAAAAGGAGTTGTCAATAAAAAGCAAACCGAAAAGATAAAATATGAACAACATGTTGAGCACATAAAGTTGGTATTTGAAAAGGTCATGTCTGAAAATTGCCTATTCATTCAACAGATTTTGTATAGGAAAAGAGGCGTTTGCCCTATGAACTAGAAATGTACTAAGTAATGTTGTTTCAGAAAAACAACAACAGTGCAATCCTACATGCACCTACTAAGAATTAATCCCACTGAGTTCAATGCAACTTACTCCCAGCCTTAAGACTCCTATTAAACAGATGAATAGCACAGTCAAACCTGCCTGAGATTATTACAGTATAGGTAATACTGAATATATTCATATATTTGAAGCGCAGGAATATTTTCATGGAATGAATAATTGTTGGAAATAATATATTTGCCTCTGGCAACCGTATCACACTAGATCAGGGGTCAGCAGACTTTTTCAGCAGGGGCCCGGTCCACTGTCCCTCAGACCTTGTGGGGGGCTGGACTATATTTTGAAAAATAATAATAAATGAATTCCTATGCCCCACAAATAACCCAGAGATGTGTTTTAAATAAAAGGACACATTCTACTCATGTAAAAACATGCTGGTTCCTGGACTGTCTGCGGACCGAATTTAGAAGGCGATTGGGCAGGATCTGGCCCCCGGGCTGAGTTTGCCTACCCCTGCACTAGATGGTCGCATGGATTATTTTTAAAGTTCTAAACTATACTGTCTGAATTTGTTTTTAAGGTCAGCACAGACCAAAAACTTTAATCTTTTTGAAATGTTTATAATTACAGAAAATGAGAACGGTACTGTGTGTATGTCTCCAAGCAGCCTGAAAAAACAACCTATCAAGACCGCAATTATAGCTGACTGCGAGAAAAGAGAGATGACGACTGAAGCAACCATCTTATCTTTTACTTCTCTTAAGTCAACTAATGATAGTCTATCTCTGCATAATGGTACAAATAGAAAAGCACTAATGTCAGGTATATTTCAGTTTAATTTACCAGCTATAGAAGCCATGCATTTCAGAAACGATACTAAAGATCATTTAGTGCACTGATACAGAATTTAAAGCAAATGCGTATTGAATCCAAATTTAGCTGTCTGCTAAAAGTAGGGCTCCCTCTGTTCATGTATAGCTTTTGATCCAGCAGAGTGATCCTGCTGGTGGAAGAAGAACTTTATTTTTGCCCAATCCCCACCCATTCTGTAGTCTTCCCACAATCCCCCTACCCTCTCCAGCAGATTTTCATAGGGTGCAAAGGTCTGCAAGGTGAACGGGCAATTGGTAAAGGTTGCTCCCCTCCTCTTCTGCCATTATATCAAACCTATAACTGTGCATTCTTTTCCTTAAACATTGTTAAGAGCAGCTCCACCATTTCCTTTACATTTCTCAGGAAGAAGAACTTGCACAGCCTTGTGTATTTTAAGCAAAATTCAACAAGGAGCCAATCCTTGGCTTGGTTTATAGACTCCAGTCTCTATGCTATCCTCATATAAATTAGAATATTTAGCATATATATTGATAATAATATTAGATGTATTACCAAAATAGCTTTTGAATTGTCTTTTAAAACAAGTAATATGCTGAAAGTTATGATGACTATATATAATTGCAATATAGCCTTTTCTAGTTTTTTATGCATAGTGATAAACGTCAAATTAAGCCAGACAGTCATGCGTCATTGAGAGCACAAAGTTCAAATTCTTTTGTTAAACTTGTTTCTGGTGCAGCTAGATCTCAGCTGATCTAATTCAAGATACTTGCCCAGGGCCTCATTAACCTTGATGAATTCTTCCACTGATTTGGGTGAATATGCCTATCTGGGGTCACTAGTCACAGACAAACAGACATAACTAGACCTGGAATGAGGCAGGTACCTGGGATCCAAGCGCACAGCACAATGTCCATTTAACTGTACCAGTTGAATTCCCACAATTATGTTAACGACAGATGCCTTCAGGACTTTTTAACAGAGCAACTACTGAAATGTGTTCAGTCAAGTGCCAAACTTTACTAAAACACTGCTTTTAAAAGGCTAATAGTCAAATGTCCTAAAGATGATGTGTTGGCGTCACAGGTGTGGGAATTGCAAAACCACAAACTTGATTTTCCAGTGGATTGAAGCGCAAAGTGACTTTTGCATATTCTTTCCCCCCTGCAGCTCCTTTTACCTCTGAAAAGCTGATATGGAAGGTTAGGGAACCCTGAGAAACAGTATAGGGGGTGGTACCAGGGGTTGCAGTGGGGATGGGATTCTGCAAAAATCACCTATACCCCTTCTGCCCACAGAAGCAGGCAATTTGCAGAGTGGGAACCTCTGCTGGATTTAACTCACTTCTGTGAATGGAAGGAGTCTAGCTCCAACCCTTTATTTTTCTATGGAGAGAGGGGAGTTACTTGATAACTTCTGAAAGGTAACCTTATGAGGAAAAATGGAGTAAGAGTTGTATTTATACTGAAAAGTACTAAAATGATGTTTGATTTATTTTAAGGTGTGGATGTTCATCGTCCTGGCAAAAGTTGGACCTTTCTGATTGGTGTCCTGGTTGTTGTTATCAGTATTTCATTGCTGATTGGAATGGTCATCAAATTCCCAGTATGGTACCGTTATTTGATTAGCTATAATCATAGTCGTTTGGAGGAAGACGAACCAGAGATGTTTGAAGAAACTTTCACATCTCATAACTGCGCATTCCCACATACACCAGGTACCAATGAAGAAGAATCAGTTGTGGTTTTTGAACAATTTCATACATTTGTTCCAGAAGAAGATGGATTTATTGAAGACAAATATATTGATACATGAAGAGTTACTATGAATGTTGCCGTCTGAATCTCTCTGCCCCATTCTGAAATATGTGCTAAGGGCTGTCATATCTGTAGCTTTATAAAGCAATGGGCTAAAAAAACCAAACTGTTGCTGCTTGTGATTAATCAAAATATGCACTATTTAATCTTGGCATCATTACAGAAAACCACTATTGGTGAAATGGTGTTGGAGGATCAAAGGTTTTTTTGTATGTAAATCAGGGCATTTTGCTTGGGTACCTGAAAGAGAAATATAGCCCTATACAGTCGTACCTCGGCTCCCAAACGCCTTGGGACTTGAACGTTCCGGTTCCCGAATGATCAAAAACCAGAAGCGAGTCTTCCAGTTTTCGAACATTTTTTTGGAAGCCGAATGTCAGGTGCGGCTTCTGCTATTGTTTCTGGCGCACCTGCACAATCGGAAACCAACTGGAAGCTGTGCCTTGGTTTCCAAATGTTTCAGAAGTCAAATGGACTTCCAGAACGAATTCTGTTTGACTTCTGAAGAACAGCTGTATATTTAAAAACAGGCAAAACAAGGGTCTGGCATGCTAAGGAAGTCATTACACAAATCATTAAGGAGGCATCCCCTGGAGTTTAGAGTCTGACCGTCAATGAAGAAGAAATAACATCTTCTGTGTCTGAACATCCAGAAATATGTAATTAATTAAAATAATTCTAATTAACAGAAACTGAGTTTCGCTTTTGTTGCACTACACAACTATGACCGATATAACTATGACCGATGGAGCCTTCAATTTGGGGTTCCTCTGGGTTCAATGTTAAATGAAATCTTTTATCCTATATGCTACTTCTGGGGTTTGTGATGGTGAGCTGAATTTTTATTTATTTAAAGCTGACTTGTTTTGTTGTACATTTTACCCCTTATGCTGTTTAACATCTACATGAAATCACTGAGTAGGGTCATCTGGAAGTCTGGAATCTGTTGTCAGCAATATGCTGCTGACACACAGCTGTACTTCTCCTTTGCATGTGCTGGTGTGGATGCCCTGGACCATTGTCTTGCCTCAGCAATGGTCTGGATGAGAGCTAATAAAAGGAAGCTCAATCTAGATAAGACTGAGGCACTGTTAGTAGGGCTTCCCTAGACTGGATGGCTGGGATGTTGCCTGCTTTTGATGGGGTTACACTTCCCCTGAAGGTGCGCGTATGTAGCTTGGGAGTACTCCTGGATCCTTTGCTATCGCTTGAGATTCAGGTGGCCTCTGTGGCCCCGAGTGCCTTCTGTGATTGCCTGGGACTCAGAACTGGAGGAGTCTCAGTCTGCATTGGATCCTCTGCCTCAGGGGCATCTGAACAGAGTCTGTGGCCTGATTCTGAAGAGCCCAGTCTGCACAGGTTTCCCTGCAACAAGCACCAGCTGGGCCGAGTTAGGGGCCTGAGCCTGCCCTGGCTCCAGATGCGGGGATTACCTCATTGCTCTCTGCTGGGCCATCACTTACAGCTGCTCCACTAAGAGTTGGGTCAGGAGCGGCTGAGGTGGCCTCTGGGTCTAGTAACCCACCGACATCTTCCGAGCAGCAGAGACTGAGGTCTGAGAGAAGGAGAGATCCAAGTACTTGCAGGAGGAGTGCTCGCCTTCGGGCAAGACAGGGAGGTGAGTCACCAGGGGATCAGGACCAGTCATTACCCCATCAGAGATAAAAGGCTGCCGGACCCTGCCCCAGGTTGTGGGAGCAACATTGCTGCTTGCTGGAACCTGCCTGTTACCCTGTGCCTGACCTAGCCTGGTTTCCTGCCCTGGCCCTTTTGGACTGACTCCTTGTGGAATCCTTGGATTCGGGACTGGACCTGGAACGCGTTGCTTGGGTTAACCCCCGGGCCCAGCACACCTTCCATCAACTTCAACTGGTGGCCCAGCTGTGCCCTTATCTAGACAGGGATAGCCTAACTTCTGTTGTCTATGGTCAGATAGCCTCTAGTTTAGATTACTGTAACACATTATACGTGGTGGCCACATTGAGAAACTTCAGCTGGTGCAGAATTTGGCAGTCGGGTTGCTCAGTGGGGCACGACAGTTTGAGAATACAAAGCCAATCCTGGCCCACCTACCAATTAGTTTCTGGGCCCAATTCAAAGTGCTGGTTTTGACCTCTTAAAAGTCTTCAAAGCAGCAGCTAGACTGGTGACTGGGAGTGGCTGCCGAGGCCATATTAACACTGGTCCTGAAAGACCTACACTGGCTCCCAGCACGTTTCTGAGCACAATTCAAAGTGTTCGTGATGACCTTTAAAGCCCTAAACAGCCTCGGCCCAGTACACCTGAAGGAGCATCTCCACCCCCATTGTTTAGCCCGGACACTGAGGTCCTCCTCCGAGGGCCTTCTGGCAGTTCCCTCACTGTGATAAGTGGTTACAGGGAACCAGGCAGAGGGCCTTCTTGGTAGTGGCACCTGCCCTGTGGAACGCTCACCCACCAGATGTCAAGGAAATGAAAAGCTATCTGACTTTTAGAAGACATCTGGAGGCAGCCTTGTTTAGGGAAGTTTTTAATGTTTGATGTTTTATTGTGTTTTTAATATTCTGTTGGGAGCCACCCAGAGTGGCTGGGGAAACCAAGCCAGATGGGTGTGGTATTAATAATAATAATAATAATAATAAATATTATTATCAAACAGCTCAGGACCACAATACCTCAAGGTTTATCTCTCCCCATACGAACCTACCTGGACCCTGTGGTATAGAAATTTAATAAATAAATAAATAAATCCCTGGAATTAAATGTGCTATGAAGACTGCATGCCTGGCTTTGTGCTTTCACCATGAGTATGTCCTGATTCTTGAAAGAAAGGGCGTTAAACTTGTTATCACTTCCTCATGTATTGGATGTTATAAAATCCTGGATCAGTTGACCTGTGTTTGTGTCTGACAGTTGTAATTTATTTATGGGGTAGGCGACAGCGGAAAGTTTTGAAACGGCGCATTCTGAGTATGGGTGGGAGGACAGGGCTGAGTCAGTCAGGTATCTGCTAGAACCCATGCTGCTTTCACTGGTTGTCGCACAACAGCATCGGGTCCAACTGCCCCACCCACCGTGACTACCCACTGTGGGTACCGTGTGCCTGAGCAGGGCTGTGGATGCAGCCAACTACTCTGCAAAGCATAGTAAATAATTTGCCTTAAAAAGTGGTCTTAGGATCAAGGTAAAATATCATTAATCTGATGGATACTGAAATAAGACTTTCCCCCTCAACTTACATGGCATTTGCTGCTGTAACTACAATTGGAAATAGTAGAAAACATCTTCTTTCCATATGAACCTACCCGGACCCTGAGATCTTCTTCTGAGGCCCTTCTTCATGTGCCTCTCCCTCAAGAGGTCCAGAGCATGGTAACACGAGAACGGGGCCTTCTCTGCAGTGGCTCCCTGTCTGTGGAATGCTCCCCCCAGGGAAGTTCACCTGGTGCCTTCATTATACACTTTTAGGCACCAGGCAAAAAAGTTCCTTTTTAACCAGGCCTTTGGTTGATCTGATTGACATCCTATGCCCTTTTAAAACGTGGCTCTTTTTTTGGGGGGGGGAGGGATGTTATTGGGTTGTTGTTTTGATTTTGATTATATATACTGTGGTTTTTATGTTGATCTTTTCTGTGAACCGACCCAAGACCTCCAGGTATAGGGCGCTATATAAATTCAATAAATAATAATAATCTAAAGTGTGAAAGGTCAGCACACACCTGCTACTGCTTGAGTACAAAAACCAGACAAGTGTCAGGGGTCTATGAATGGCATTATAACACAATACAGAACATTTCTATGCATTTGTTTATTTTCCAGTTTCGTTTTTAAAAAATCATATACTTACGCTTGTCTTTCTGTAAAAATGATGTCTATGCCCTGAGCTTCACGGTCATTTTGAGTCTTCAACTATTAAAAAGACACAGCCACCAACAGCATGAGAATAGCTCTGCTATATCTACAGCAAATAAATTTCCCGTTTCTAGAGCCAATGTCTTTAATTCAACTGAATTTGCTATTATAGCTTATACACCATAGATCAGTCTTAAAATGATTTCCAAGAAATACAACATGATCCTAAAAATATGTTTGAGAAATGGAACATAAATCAGAATTAAGGGCAGTTTCAAATGCGTCTGTACTAATTTACATGCATAATGGTTGGACTGTGTCTATAGGTAAAAGGTTTATATAGCTCAGGGGCAGCTTTGGTGCTGCAGATGCTGCTGAACTACAAACTCCCATTAGCCTCAGCAAGACTGTCAGTAGAGATGATAGGATTTGAAGTTCAGAAACATATGGCAGGCTAAAAGGTTCCCCACAGCTGGCATAGCTGAATGAAGTATCAGATCTCCACAAATATTAATTTACTTATTTTTATTTATTTGATTTCTATCCCACCTTTTAACAGGTTCTCAGAGCAGCCAACAAAAAATAAAACAAACTTTAAAACGATAACATTAAAACATTACAAAGTAAAAGAGTGCTTTAAAAGCAGTCAGCAGAACTAAAAACACCGAACACCACAACAGCAATTTTCAGAGGATTGAACAACCCGGGGAAATAAAAAGATCCTTGCCAGGTACTGCGCTGTAATGACAGCGAGGTATGCCACAGGCAAATTTGAAGTTACAGATGCTGACTGCAACAGATGAAGTTGCAAGCGCAAGTAATTTCAAATAAATTGCAAGCATCTCAGTGATAAGATGTTTTGCAGGAAGGGGTCCTTTGGAGGGTGGGGATGGCAGTTTAAAACCAGCTCTTGCTCCCCTCCCAAACAGCTGATCAGTAAAATTTCCATGTGCTAGTATCAACTACTCATTTCACTGGTAAAAAAAACACACTTATGTTCCGTTTGAACTACCATTTAGTTGGAAATTTAAATTGTGTAGGTCCTTTCTATTGTGATCCAATGTTTGGAAGAATTGTGGCTTTTTATATTTCCTTCTATTAACTAAGATGCTACTTTGAAATGTCACTCTGCATATGTATTTGGGTCAAAAGTATATGCAGTTACACTCATCCTGAAAACCAATTACAATTGTTTTCAAACATTTTCCAGCAGCTACTGAGCATCACTGGTTAGCAGCAGTCCAAGTTGAACAATAACCAATTCAGGCAAAACTAATACTGTTACAAAACAATGTTAACACTCACCAGGTTATAGTCATTCATTACTTCCTCCATATCGGTATTGGTATTAAGTTTATCCACCAGCTAAAAGAACACAGAACCCAATTAATTGCTAGTTTTATTCCCAATGAATTATTTATAGGTGATTATCTATGCAACTGCAATTCAAAATTAGATCCAGTATTTTCAAAGTGTGAAATATATATATAAATATTAGCAATATAAACAATAACATACCATATTGTAATCAGCTAGTTGCCCTTGAAACTCTTTGATCTCACTAGCTAAAGACTCTGCCCTAAAAGAACAGGAAAAAAACAGTTACTATACAACATAGCTTATGTGATAAAATGTAATCAAAGCAAGTCTCAAGTTTTAACACACACTAAGCCTGCAACTTACATGTATTTAACTTGCATGTATGCAGCTTTATGTGCTGGGCAAATAAATAAATAAATAAATGGGGGCGGACTTCCAGGAAAAAAGACTTTGGCAATCCCACCTGCCATTGAACCCAATGCGTTCTGGCGACAGTCGTACCTTGTTTTGCGACCGGGATCCATTCCGGAGCCTCAGACGCTAGATGAAAAGGACGCACGACAAAGCGCCAATCCGCACACGCACGTGGAGAGGTTTGTGCTTCTGTGCATGAGGCAAACCTGGAAGTAACCTGTTCCGGTACTTTGGGGTTTGCCGCAGGCGTTCGACAAAATGGATGCTCGATGAGGCAGACTCAAAACAAGGTACCACTGTATATGCAATTTTGACTTTAGGCATGATCCTTGGAACGTAAACCCTACGTAAGTTGCAAGTTTGCTGTTTCCAATCCAAATTTACTTGTGTACATGATTCCACTGACTTTAATTAACACAAAAGTTTTTAAAGACCCTCAGGGTCCCTTCCAACTCTACAATTCTATGACAATAAGTGCAATCTATCTCACCTTTTTTCATATGATAGGTACACAGAATTCTCCTGATTATACATGTCGATTTCTTTCTGAAGCTTGTTAATTTCTGCGGTGAGTTCATTTATTTTGCTCCTGTAGGAAAAAAATAGTTCTTATGTTAAGTATAATTTAGGCCTGTTCTAAAGCCACAGTCTTTGGGTCAGAGGTCATCTGCCACATAAATATGGTTTTGGACACCTCTTCAGATTTGCACGTGTCGGTGTTTTATTGAATTATGTACCAGTCCTTTGGAACCTGACAGAGGGACAATTTAACTGGCTTCTAAGGGCACCTATGGTGGATAAATGTCTAGTTCATCAGTACTGGAAGAAGCCCACTTCCCTAATCCTACAGCGGGCAGAGAACATGACTCAGCTGGCAGCGTACGAGAAGGTGATCTTCCATAAACACGAGAAAGATGGGGAATTCCTTGATATCTGGACTCTTTATACAAATCTATTTGCTCAAATGGGTTGGTTGGGACTACCAGACGTTTCCCCCCCGCCTCATCAGTTGTACACAGAGAACACGTCTTGATTAATTACGATTTTCTTTGCATTGTATGACTTTTTGTTTCTTCAATCCAATCAGAAACTATTAATAAAAAGGGTGTCTGGTTTAATCTTTATGGCCCAGTGCAGCCTAGTCAATTTATACAATACATTTCTAAAGGCCCACGTCATGCTAAAACCCTGGTCAGTATCTAGTGGTTTTTTGGGAAGGTCACTCTGGGAAGAGAGTGAGGGGGCAAAAGGACTACCCCAAAGATGATGGGTGCAAGTTCTGTGGACTACATATGCTACTTTATCCTTTAGATGGACAAATGAGTTGCAAGGCAGCACAACTCATCAAGGTAGAGTTTGTTTAGGAGCCTTCAGATGCTGAATCCAATGTTTAAAATAGCTATATAGTGATCAGTATAGTTGCTTTCTACAACTGATCTATTTTTCTAAGGGACTGCAAGGGAAGAGGTGGAAACCCCAATGCACAAGTGGAAGTCCTTGTGTGGGCTTTTGCTGATGGACTCATTAGCTGAAGCCAACCCTAATATTTTAGAGTTGTGTTTATACTTGACCTGCTATTGACAACTTGCCAATTAAGTATTAATCTGTTAAGTGACCTGACCATTCCTTTGGTCAGCACTTCTGAAGGTAGAAAGTTCTACACAAATCTCTTTCGCCTTAACCTCAAAAAGTATTTTAAACCCTATGCTGATTCCGAGTCAGATTGTGTGGAGCACAGCTGGATGACTGGAAGCAGTGAGGTTCCCAGTAAAGCAAAGTCAGTTGGACACTGGTCACAAGTATCTACTCCAGCAAACAGGAAAGAAATGGAAGGTAAGGCCTGCATTTGGTACAGACAAAACAGTAGGGAAGGCAGTGGGATATGACAATCATGAAACAAAACGTAGGCCAGTCCTCTATACCTGTGCTGAGTGCAGGAAAAATGGGCCAGCTGGACTATGAAAGGAGGAAGAGCTACTGCTAAGGAGCCATGAGATAAGAAACCTCTATCATCCCTGCCAAACACTGCAAGCTAGACAAGATCAAGGCGATAGCCAATTAATTACTGCCAATAAGGCAGTAGCTCTTGACACAATCATATAAATACAGCACAAACACTGGTGACAAATAACTTTCACATACCTGAGCACTCCCAGGTAGTAGGATTTATCCATAATTTGTCTCTGTGGACCTAACAAATAACAAGTGTCAAATTGTTACCTGACACCACAGTACAATGAGAAACAACTGTATTAATAAGCAATCCAGTGGTTGTTTTCATGCAAGGTGATAAAATCACCATAAAGAGACAGAGAGAGGCTTAAATAAATGAATAAATCCTCTGTAAATAATGTAACGTACATATTCTCTTAAATAATCCATGACGTAATGTCACATGCTCTGAACAGTATAGGACCTATCTAGGTTTAAAGCTTCTGGTGCTATTCCAGCTTTCCAAGTTCCACCTGAGATTTCACAGATGCTGGTTCAGTTCTGCCCTTACGTCAGGATGGAGCTTTGATTAAAAAAAATTGCTTTGCCTTGTCCTAAGTTCCGACACATTTCATGTCTCTATGAGGCCAAAACCACTGTAAAGTGTATTGCTCCGTTTCCCCTTATAATCACATGCACAAGACTAACTTATTCAATGTTTGTATGCCTTCATATCTTAAAATACCTTTCATTCCAGTTTTCATTCCACTCAGCCCTTGTTGTGTCACTGGACGGTCTGCAACCTTAATCTGGGAAGACAAAACCACACCAGTACCTATGGATCCACCACGTGTACCAGGTCTTGATGTTCCTGGAGGGATCTAACACCGAAAACAGAATCGGTAGAAAAAATAATGAATGCAGTCATTCTGAGGAACAGAAAACTAGTCTATCTACTTATCAATAAACAGGCTGAGGTCTTGAGATTTAAATGAAACCAAATGACATGGCACACACCTTTTTTGTTACATTTATATTCCAACTTTCCTCCTAGGAGCTCAAGGTGGTGACAGTCCTTCTTCCCATTTTATCCTCACAATAACCCTGTGAGGTAGGTTAGAGTGCATAAGTGGCCCAAGGTCAGCCAGTGAAGTTTCATAGCTGACTGAGGATTTGAACCCTGGTCTCAAAGGTCCTAGTTTAACAGCTTCACCCTAAAGACTCTCATATACATAATAGGACCCCACAAACTTTTTGTAAAGTAAAGGCAGCTTCAGGAAGGTAATTTGAAACCCTGAAAAGGGATAAAGAGGCTGGTGGTGCAATTTGGAGCAAAGAAGTTGTGGATGGAGAAAGAGTAACCATTCTGCTCCTCTGCAATTCTGCTACCACTAACCATAAGGATTCTATCACACACATGTTCGGATCCAAGCCATTCCTGTAGCAATTAATAACAAGATAAAGGTATCAATAAGCACATCGAGCACCCAAACACAGAAGCCCTGCCTACAAGCTTATAAACTAAAAGGAAAAGGAACAGGAGTGTGAGCCACAAAAAGCAGTGGAGATAAATAGGAAAATAAAATGCCAAAAACATGGGAGAATAGACTGGTTTTTAGCTGCTACTTTTAGATGATAAGATCCTTTGAGCAGACACCTATCCCTTCGTGTTACACAATCCCTTATGTTAAACAATATACAGTGGTACCTCGGGTTACATACGCTTCAGATTACATGCACTTCAGGTTACAGACTCCGCTAACCCAGAAATATTACCTCGGGTTAAGAACTTTGCTTCAGGATGAGAACAGAAATCGTGCAGCAGCAGTGCAGCGACAGCAGGAGGCCCCATTAGCTAAAATGGTGCTTCAGGTTAAGAACAGTTTCAGGTTAAGAATGGACCTCCAGAACGAATTAAGTACTTAACCCGAGGTACCACTGTACACAAGGTGTGTATATTATGATGTCTGGAGACACTGTGTAAACAATAACAAAGTAATCTGCACTGGATAGAAAAGGCTCTAGCTTAGGAATCAGAAAATGAAAATAAACTCTTTAATGAAACTTTATCACTTGTCAAACACAGTAGGTTTTAAAAAAGATTAATTTTAACTTACTCCTCCTCCAAGTAGAGCTGCGGATGGAGGCCGTAGTGAGGATGAGGGCGGTCTGGCTCCCAGGCCTAGTCCTGCTCTTGAAGACGGGCGGGCTGTAGGAGGCTTGTGATTACTTGCCATTTTTTCTCTTTTCTTCAAATTTCTCTTTAGAAACAAGCATACGTTACGCACTAGAATCCTCTAAATGTGTATTCTGTATTAAAAGAGAACTTTTAAGTCACGGATAAAGAAAATATTTTAAATAAAACAAGTAAGAATTTTCTTTAGCTTTTTAATTGGAATCATGCCATACGCAGGGTAAATATGCCCATTAGGACAGCTATCTTCAACACAGTAACTAGTCCTTGGGCATGGAATGTAAGCTCATGGTGAACCATGCCTGCTAAAACAACGGGTGTTGTGGTCTAGTCAATATTTGGGTGAGAGATTATCTATGAATCATTTCATGATGGAGCAAAGTCTAAAGAACTTTGACGTATGTGGTTGAGATTAAGAAAATAAAAGACACGGATCTGGGGTAGCTCAGTTGGTAGAGCTTGAAACCCTTAATCTCAGGGTTACGAGTTCAAACCTCACGTTGGGCCAAAGATTCTAGCACTACAAGGGGTTGGACTGGATGACCCTCGTGACCCCTTCCAACTCTGCAGTTCTGTGATTACATATATGAAATTACAATAGGGGGTGAAACCACGGAACACAGTATCTTAAACACAACACTAGCAATTGACGAAAAGATACAAGTCACTGTTTCATGGGTATAGCCAGGATATTTGTTGGGGGGGGGAGGCTTTTTTTGGGGGGCAGAACCTCAGTTAAGTATTTTTATTGATGAGGGGCAGCTCCCCCCCCCCCGCCCCGGCACTATTTCAACAGACACATGTTGTGGGTATCTGTAATACAGGCATGAAGAGATTGCAAAAGCTCTGTAAACCAAACCTGATGTTGTGTTTTATTTTTTATTAATCCAGAAACGGCCCAACAACACACTAAGGGCAGCTCGGTCCCTTACTCCCCAGAAACCTTAACAAACATTAACCCCCCCCCCACCTTTAAAAGAAAAACTCCATGGAGGAGGGCTGAGTTACTGGGCGCTTGTTTTTTTCCACTTTGCAACGACGCGTGTCGCGCAGGAGAGCGTTCACACGTGACGCCCACCACCCTCAGCCTTAAATTCCATGCACCATTTCCCCGCCCATCGTGGGAGGGGAAGGGGCTGAGGCATGTCACGTACGGGGGTAGTGAGGGTCGGCACTCCCGCATCCGCGCTCCAACCTGCGCGGCTCCTCTTACCTGACCCTTTCCCGCGCGCACGCGCAGTGGGCTAACGAGACCCGTTAATTTAACGGTTCCCTCCCATCCACGAACTCCTCTCCGCGCGCGACGGCAAGCCGTAACCTAGCAACCGCGCCAGCCAACCCCCGGCGCCGCTCCCTCCGCGCAGTCGCTCTGGCGCCAAGCCGAGCGCGGATTCTTCCTCTTCCCCTCACGCTCCCGTATTCCATCGCGAGATTTACGCGCAGCTTTCGCCTCACAACAATCCACTTTGGCGCATGCGCAGAGGGACGAGCCTTGTGCTCGTGAGTGCCAGTCTATTTTCCCCTCCAGACACTTGGAATCGTATATATATGTATATATGTATATATATATATGTAATATAATCTGGTGCTCAAGTAGGGTTGCCATATTTCAAAAAGTAAAATTCCTCACCTCTTTTTTTACACAAAAATTGTTGAGAGCTTTTTAAATTTTTGGTACTAAATCCAAAGAATGGGCTCGAAAAGGTTGGGGGGGGGAAAACTTCGTGATCTACGCCGGTGATCGAACCTGCAATCTTGGCGTCACCCGCAGCGCCACCCTGGCTGCTACCTGAACCTCCATTTGCATTCTGGGAAATGTAGTCTCATCTCTCCACCTGCCCAGGTTCTCCCCTTATAGGGCTCCCGAAGCGTCCATTTGCATTCTGGGAAATGTAGTCCTTCCCTTCCACCCCTCCGCGGTGCCTTCTGGGCGTCGCGCCTCTTCCGGCGCTCTGCGGGGTGACGGCGCTTCCGGCGGAGGGCGGGCGAGAGGAAGCGGAGGAGGCGGGCTCCGGCACTGCTGCTGCTGCTGTGTCAGGGGGCTCGAGGGCTGTTCGCGATGGCCGCCGCGGGGGGCACCTACCGGCTTCGCTGCTCCTTGGTGGGCCACGAGCTGGACGTGCGGGGCCTCAGCTGTTCTCCCTTCCCCGCCGGCTCCTTCGTCTCCGTGTCCCGGGACCGGACGGCGCGGCTGTGGGCGCCCGACAGGTCAGTCTTGGAAGGCGAGGGGGGGGAAGGAGGGAAGGAGCCTTGAGGGGAGTTTTTGCTCTGCCTTTGCCCTCCCTTGGCCGTTTCGATATCCTCTGAAAGGAGGATCTCTCGGTTGCTGGCTCCGTTTGGAGGCGGGGTGAGGGTGAGTTAACATCGTGGAGTTGGAAGGGACCCCCGAGGGTCATCTAGCCAGGCAGAAATCTCAGCTCAAGCATCCAGGACAGGTGGCCATGCAACCTCTACTTTAAAACCTCCAAGGAATCGTAGAGTTGGAAGGGACACCTGAGGGTCATCTAGTCCAACCCCCTGCTAGGCAGGAATCATCATCATCATAATAATAATGTTATTTAAATATTTATACCTCGCGCATCTGGCTGGGTTTCCCCAGCCAGTCTGGGCAGCTTCCAACAAAAGATTAAAAACACCTTAAAGCAGCCTTTCTCAACCTGTGGGTCCCCAGATGTTGTTGGACTACAACTCCCATCACCCCTAGCTAGCAAGGCCAGAGCTCTGGGATGATGGAAGTTGTAGTCCAAAAACATCTGGGGACCCACAGGTTGAGAACCACTGCATTAAAGCATCAGTCATTAAAAACTTCCCTAAACAGGGCTGTCTTCAAATGCTTCAAATCTATGACAGGTGGCCATCCAACCTCTGCTTAAAAGCCTCCAAGGAATTGTAGAGTTGGAAGGGACCCCTGAGGGTCATCTAGCCCAACCCCCCTGCTAGGCAGGAATTTCATCTAAAGCATCCACGACAGGTGGCCACCCAACCTCTGCTTAGAAACCCCCAAGGAAGGAGAGTCCACCACTTCCCAAGGGAGACTGTTCCAAACAGCTCTGGCTGTCAGAAAGTTCTTCCTGATGTTTAGTCAGGAATCTCCTTCCTTGTAACTTGAGGCCACGGGTTCGAGTCCTGCCCTCCAGAGCAGGACAAAACAAGCTTGCTCCCTCCTCCATGTGACAGCCCTTGAGATATTTGAAGATGGCTATCCTGTCTCCTCCTTTCCAGGCTAAGCATACCCAGTTCCTTCAAGCGCTCCTCATAAGGCTTGGTTGCCAGACCCTTGATCATCTTGGTTGCGCTCCTCTGCACACATCCTTCTTAAATCGTGGTGCCCATAAATGGACACAGCATTCTAGGTGTGGCCTGACCAAGGCAGAATAGAGTGGTACTATGACTTCTGTTGATTCAGCCTAGAATAGCATTAGTTTTTTTTGCTGCTGCATCACACTGTTGATGGGTGTGATGGGTTGACCATTTGATTTCAGTGGGATTAGGACCACCTACAGTGAGGGGGGAAAGTATTTGATCCCCTGCTAAATTTGCCCGTTTGCTCTCGGACATGTGGCTTGTTGATAGGGGATCAAATACAGTGGTGCCTCGCAAGACGAAAAGACTCCGTTCCGCGATTCTCTTCGTCTAGCGGTTTTTTCGTCTTGCGATGCAACCCCATTAGCGGCTTAGCGGCTATTAAAGGGTTAGCGGCTGAGCTGCTAAAAGGCTATTAGCGGCTTAGAAAAAGGGGGGGAAAGCGAGAAAAAAATGGCAAGACTCGCAAGACATTTTCGTCTTGCGAAGCAAGCCCATAGGAAATTCGTCTTGCGAAGCGCCTCCAAAACGGAAAACCCTTTCGTCTAGCGGGTTTTCCGTCTAGCGAGGCATTCGTCTTGCGGGGCACCGCTGTACTTATTTCACTCATTATAAAAAGGTACCTCTGCCCGTACGGGCCAGTCTTGACAGACTCTAGGGTTGTGCGCCCATCTCACTCAAGAGGATCCTCACGTGGAGCTGAATACTTTGTCTTCCGCTAAGCGGTATTCTGCCCGGGTTTTCACTGTGTGCTTATTCTGTCTCACTCATTACAATGCACATCAATCTCTGACTTTTGTCTTCTGGGTTTCTGGGGTTTTCCTGTTGTTATTCTGTCTCTCACAGTTACAATAAACCTACCATTAAAATTTTGGACTGGTCATTTCTTCGTCAGAGGGCAAACGGGCAAATTTAGCAGGGGATCAAATACTTTCCCCCCTCACCGTAGTTATCCGAGTTGTGAATTGTGCCACATGTTTACAAGTTACTGTTTAGATTAGGAAAGTTGCCAGCTTGTGATTTGAAACATCTAAATGGTTTTCTAAAGTGATGGGCTCTTTATTTCTTTATGTGACCTGTAGCGTTAGAAACTCAGATGTATAAGCTAGGGGCCAAGTGGCTCCTTAAACCCAGGTTGCAGTTGCCAAAATGTAATGTCTACATGCCATTTTTGGGCAAGACGACTCTAAAGTCTTATTTTTCAAATGATGGACTGACTGCGATTGATTCTTAGTTAAACATCTGGCTAGTTCAGAGGACAACCTTGAGCTAGATTAAGAGAGAGAGTCCACATATTAAGGGAGAGTCCACATATATACTTGCTTATTCCTACCTCTCTTTCTTAATGGTGACACAGACCTTCATAACATAGCAATAGTCTTCACAACTGTGAGCAGGGCAGTGGGGTGGGGTAAGTGAAGACAAGCGACAGCAATGAGCTATAACGTTAACCGCTCCTGCTTAGAAAAAGCATTTTGGTTCCTGAAATTTGTTCTGATTGTGCCGATAAAATAGAATGGATGGAATTCTACAGGATGTGGTATTAGTTGGATTTCCAGATGGTGGAGATGTCAGGGGCCGGCCAAGGCATCTTCACTTGGTCGCAAGTGGCCAATACTCAAGTGCTCGCAAGTTACCTGCTGTGCCACAGACTAGTCTCCCTTCAAGCACATGACCATGTTGTCGTAGGTTAGTGGCCTAGACAAATGAAATAAAAAAAATAGGCTCTTCCACATTCCAAGCACTTTGCCTGGTAACTTGGAAGGAAATATTTAAGAGTACAGTCAAACTTTGGTTGTCGAATGTACTCCGTTCCGGAAGCCTATTCGGCTTCCGAAAATGTTAGACAACCGAGGCGCAGCTTCTGATTGGTTGCAGGAGCTTCCTGCACTCAAGCGAAAACCGTGTCGGACGTTCAGCTTCCGAAAAACCTTTGGGAACCAGAGCATCTACTTTCGGGCTTTAGGTGTCCAGGAGCTGAAGCGTTCCAAAATGGAGGTGTTCGGGATCCGAGGTTTGACTGCAGTTGTTGTGAACCCCGAGCTAAAAAAATAAGTTTGTGAAAAACATATTTGAGCTTAGGTCACTTTGAGCGCATTGTTGATTTTCTTCTTTAGTGTAGGCTTAATATGCAGGTGTGTATCTATGTGTTTATCATGGTATGCACATACATGCATATAATTTATTATCTGTCCTTGTGCCAAGAGTTATTGGGCCACAGTTTGACTGACAAGATCAGGTTCTTCTGCTCATGGAACATTCTAGTGCTGGGGTCTGGATGTGGCAGGAAAAGTATTGTACACTCAGTAGCAGCAGGACGAAACACATGAACAGCTTGAGAAGTACCTTGGAGTTACAAGTGGGAACGTAAGAGAGAGCAAATACAGTGGTACCTCGCAAGACGAATGCCTCGCAAGACAAAAAATTCACTAGACGAAAGGGTTTTTTGTTTTTTGAGCTGCTTCGCAAGACAATTTTCCCTATGGGCTTGCTTTGCAAGACGGAAACGTCTTGCAAGTTTGTTTCCTTTTTCTTAACACCGTTAATACAGTTGCGACTTGACTTCGAGGAGCAACTCATAGAACGCGGTGTGGTAGCCTTTTTTGCGGTTTTTAAAGACTTTGGTGATTTTTGAAGCTTTTCCAAAACTTTCCCGACACCGTGCTTCGCAAGACGAAAAAAATCGCAACACGACAAAACTCGCGGAACGAATTAATTTCATCTTGCGAGGCACCACTGTACAGACTTCAGCAAGCAACAGTGTTGTGAGGGCTACAATCCCTAAACCTTTTTAAAAATATTATAATACAGGATGGTCCTCACTGAATTTAAAACAGCTACTGAAAGAAATTCCCATCACAGACTATAACACCAATGGCTGTTCATCTGGACAAACCCAGTACCTTTGCTTACCAAAAAAAGTCAAGGCCTGGTGTGGCTGTCATTAGGGTAAATTATTATAAACCAGGGGTGGCCAGCTTCCAAGAAACTGCAATCTAGTCACAGAGTTAAAGACTGGCAATGATCCACGCCCTTTTTGCGGGGTTCTTGAGCTTTTTTTTAGGCAGGAGGAGAGCCCTAGTTTTTGGGGGGTGCAGGGCTAACATT